ACTTGGAACCAACACATGCTGAAAGAGGACGAAGATCTTGACATATAACTAGGCGAAGCAGGTTCCCACCCCTTATCGGACTAGGGACAATTTTTTTCCATCCGAATATATCCAACGTGCCAAGGAAATTATCATATCTGGCGGGGCAAGTATACGTGTCCCATTTAATTTCCGGTAGATTAAAGTCTCCGCATACAATTTGCGATCATACTGAAGGGAGGATGCGTATTTAATAGCACCATTGAGTAAGAACTGGTCTTCAGAGAACATCTCAGGTGCTTCGCGTGTGCAACCAAGCAGTACCATTGCACCTTTGCAGTGCACTGCGACCCATAGGGAGTCTTTAACTTTACTTAGCACTACGTTTTTCAGCCTGGATACATTTGGGGTGTTTAGAAAGTCTACTAAACACCCGCCTACTGTCTTACTAGTAATGGCAGCTAAGTGAGTTCCACAGGGCTGGAGCGTATGCCTGTTAGGTAGAAAGTCGAGAACCCGAGTCGTAGTGAGACGCCGTGACCATCGGGGTCATATTTCATATTTCTGAATGCCAAGCTGACTTGCCGAACTGCCGGTGTAGGTGGATTACTGGCAACAGATGTCTAAAAGTCAAAGACTTGAAGGACCCCAGCATTAGTTCGAGTGCGCTCTGAGCTACAGGTCCTTTTGTCTATTCTGATTACAATCTTCCACCTACTGACCTCTATCGTGATCTTTTACGAAATTTAGTGACACCAGAGGAAAACAACTCAGAGCACGTGACTTCAGCACAAGGATGTGGGGGAGCACCATTGCCTTCGACCAATAACATTCAGTTCCCAATAAGTCACGGTTCTTAGGTCTGGAAATCGTGGCTTAACTTATGAATAAGCCTCCTTTAGATCCAGTACTTAGCTGGTAAGAATGTCGGTAATTAGGCACACTGTAACTTGCGTATCGTATGCTTAGGAGGTCTTCGAAGCCGATGGGCGCCTAAATTTGTCAACGAAATCGGATGCGCGGAATAGTGAAAATCTACTGAACATGTTTGATGAGGTCTCTTAGATCGGCTGTGACATTACGATGTTAGGTACTGTTCCTTCCCTGTAAACAGTGCACGTTTCAATGGGTAAAACGATATTGTTTTGATTATTCACTGCCCTTAGGCCATGTACGTTATTGGGTCCCGACAGGGTAGGGCAGTTGATACAAAACAGGTGGAAATTTGTTGCAGAAGGGCCTCATCGGCAAATTGTTAGGAAGAATGAAGAGCCATCTGACTCCAGCTATTGAAGCGTTGTAGAGTGTTGACGACGGTAGTAGAAGGGGAGCGTGATCGGTTTAAAATATACTTCCTTTTATGACGGGATATAGATGGGGTCAATGGAGTTTCGCATCGGAAACTGCTCACACAAAATTTCGACGAAACTGCATATTTGAATTAATTCATGACCAACATACGTGCAAGCATAGCGGTCTCTTCTGCTCTTTTGTAATGAAACAGTGATGAGGCTGAAAGACTCAATTAGCTTAATAGAGTCAAGGTGAAGTGAAATAAGGCCTCTTCTGCCTTTAGTTATGTTTGTTTTATAGCTAGAGAGTGTTGACATGAATCGATCTTAAATCAAGGTGCAATTCAATTTTCTCGTCAACGTAAACAGTTAATTATTTCACTCAGAAGTTGTAATTCAACTCACCAGGTAACCTGGTGATTCTTAAAGTGCCCAACGTTGACGGGAGTGTATCGTAAACCGCAATGAGGCAGCCGGCACCCAGCGTTTTACAATCGCCGATTTCGCTCGACTTGTACAAGGAGACTATGCAACTCTCAGGCCTCAGACGTTATTCACCTTGCTGGTGGTGACCTGATGACAATAATTTGGCGATATTATGTGACAAATGTAATCTGTGCAGCCAAAAGCTTTACACGAAGTAACTTCATCCTGGCCGAAGTTTTCTTCTGCCAGTTCTTATCCCACCTCATTAGGCAATATTAGTCCACGATACTGACTTCTAAGTCGTCTGTCCATATGAAGCACTTGATATGTACTGAGATGGACATCCCCAGGAATGTCACCTTGGCTTTAGTTGGTAGTCTAGCGAAAGCGTACAGGCACTCTTGCTGGCGGTGGGTTCGTCCAATACTATTCACCTTCTTCCATCCGTCGCCACCAACCCCCTCACTATGGACAACGAAAGTAAAGAACAAGCGCAGTTTAAGTGAAAGGTTGTCCCAACGGGACTCCAAAGGGATTTTAGCAAACATTCTTTTTCGTTTGGCCGTATCTTCAGTCAAAGGTGCTCCTTATGTCACAGTCACTGAAGAAAGGTCCAGGTGAAAGGGCCGTAGCAGAAGTATTGCACATCTCGTGTGTACTAACGTTACGCATTAACATTAGAAAAGTAGAACAGTCAATTCACATGTAAAGAATTAGTTGGTAAAATTTATTGCAACTCCCCGCCGCGACTTCACGACCGAATTTGTCGAGTCTGCTACGGCAATACGACCTTGTGTTGTATGTTTCACGGATTTGCCTGTCGCGCGGCTGAGCAAATGAGGCTGCCGATGCTCTTGGTGAAATATCAGAAACGTGTGACCAAGTCCAAAGTGGACAATGTTTGAGAACAAGGACGGCCACAGAACTCAAGTTGGTACACGGGTAACTATGGCATACTTGTGACGCCAGGCTTCTTTAAATGTACCATTAGCAAGTGTCAACTTGGACAACGACAAGCTGTGAGTGTTCTACGGGCCCATTCATACGATTGTAAATCAACTCCAGTAGCGAAATCTTTGTCCATAGCTTTCGCATCCCATGTATGTACTTCTTTTTCCTTTGAAATTGTAACTTTGCTGGCACTAGTGGAGTTCCGCGGCTTAACGGTTGAATTATTCTCTTAGGGCAGTCATGCCTCCAGCGTTTTATCTACGCGGTGGTAGTTCTGGCATTCTCAGTGTAAGAGCTTCGTGTATTACAGTTGCGTACCTTATGCATGCTCTTATGCATCGCATCTGGTCTCTCTAGATTTCTTTTCATTTCTCTACGCAGACTTTCAGTGCCATCATTCGTGTCATTCTCAAGAACAGGGGCATTTTTAACAAATGATGCACGCCATACATGTTTTTAATTCAGCCGGTATCGAATTAGACACTGGGCTATGTTTCTGCCCTGACATGTCGAATAACATCATCTGTAGATGATGACTACTGCAAAATAGGTCTCAAATTCTTCTTCCCTTTTACTGTTGGTTACCTACCCCAGGCACCACGAACCACAAACGACTGCCTAAGGAGATAGTCACGGACCATCCTGTTGGATCTAACAGTATACGCGTTCATCTCCAGTGCAACCCTAAACAATAATGGACAATTTCGAAACTTAGAACTAAGACCATTCTCACAGCCGGGAGGAATTACAGTTTCTGAGTCAACCACATTTCTCTTCACGGTTCGCTGTGAAAGTTCACTTCGAAGCAACCAAGGTGTACATCAGACTACTCTCCTGATTCCTTGCCTTTCTCGTGAGCATAGTGAGTATAAGCAGCCTGTAATCATTGCAAAACACGAGAGACACAAGCTTTTTGCGGATCATACACCTCCAACCTCTTTACAACTGAAGAACAACTTCGGTAGTAACACTTCTCAGAATTCCCCAATCATGTCTAATGGAACTGTAGAATTCTTTGAAGCTTGAGATATGCTGCTTAACGTTGCAGATTAACGGGTAAGTGGCAACAGAAGGCGTAATACAAGGAAATTAATACTTTACGGTGTACAAAAACTTAACAAAACCCGCTACTGTTCAGTGAAAGGAGCCTGCGAGTTCAGAGCAGTTATCACCGTTCTTTATGTGGTGGCCAGCGCTTTGAAGACAGATGCTGATTTCCGTTTACCAACGTGGCTACGAAAAAATACTTCGATCAGTGGCCCTCAAGGGATGGATGGTGATAATTAGGGCTTCCCAAGTCAAATGAGTCCCGTTTGTCTCACTATAACACCTAGACTGAATCCCGTTCCCCACAGCAACTATCTGGACAAGATTAAATGCTAGAAATCTGCTTCAAATCTGCTGCTCAAGGTCGACTGAAAACGAATAAATTTTAGCAACACCCTTCTCACTTTTATCATTGTTATAGTTAGTTGCCAGGACAATATCAGGGTTAAGTTACCTATCCACGTGATCGCGAAGGGGTAGCCGACACACCAGCAACACGGCTAACATCTTGAAGCATGGATCCGTCGAGTTTTCCTTTCATACGGAGAAGAATGAGGAGATATATTATACTGCTTGACGAATAGAACTTCATGAATTCCCTAGTTGTAGCTCTTTCAGTGACCGTTTACAATTAGAGGCTGCGTCCAAACAGGGAAATATGCTGCAGCATATATTGAAGGCTGCTTGATCTACTACTCACAGTACTCAAGCCCTTAATCAAAATATCATCTAACAACCACAAACAGTATCATCACTTGTATTATACCGTCGTTGATCGGACGGAATTGATCGGTCTTTATTGGCATATGCACTCCTGTTGGGTGCCCTGATATTACCTGTCCTCTGGTTATAATAGTGACAGATAGAAGCCAGCAGTAGAAAATGGCCAATGCGGTTCGATCAAAGATGGTACAATATGGGCAATCAAGCTACAACCATACCCACCACACAAGGACTGGCCATCGTGGCTCGGTGGTGTAATAGATAACGCTCTGACGTTTGAAGCGATGGCTCCCGAGTTCCAATCACGGTGGGAAAAACATCACTCACTGGAAGGTAGGTACACCCAGCTGACGTGTCCTAAGGATTACGAAATGCGCATCCTGGGATCCGCTGCTAGCCAGTATCGATCATTACTATAACATCCACAAACGTCTATAAAAGTCATAGAATTTGAAAAGCTAGGATTTATTTGCCACTATTATTCAGCAGCTTGAACCATTTTACACCAGACAGTGTATAAAAAAATTACTTGGCTAAAACGATGTCGTTCGAACGACATTGTACACCAGAAACTAAGTTTCCAGCCGCGCTGTTCCACTGCAGCGTTACTCAGCATGTCTGATAATAAAGATGCAAAACTGTATATTCTGCTTGATCAAGCTTCACTTGAGTCAGTCAAAGCAGCAAGTGGAAAAGAATTTCAACTACTCAATCCTGATAGACACAAAGATAAAATTTTAAAGTCGGGTCTAGATGCTTCATCAATTCGACCCGATATCACCCACCAGTGCTTACTTATGCTACTTGACAGCCCTCTGAACCGAGTTGGCAGATTACAGGTCGGTTTTGTTTCTATGGTTTCCGTTTTTTTATGAGAAACGCACCCAGATTGCATACTTGCTACTAAACGTTTTTATGATTGACCATATATTTACTTGCCTCCAGACTGATGGATCCATGAGAGTTGTTAACGTTGACGAGATATGTAGCCAAAGGCTAGGCTCTTTGTTCAAGAATTTTGATGTTTTGTATTTATAACATAAGTTTATCTCTAAATAATTATACATACAGTTGGTCACAAGCTTTTGTATTTCTGTTGGTCATCCCATATCTTGTTAACAAAGAGTTTCATAACTTGTGATATCTGAGATACTGCCCTTATAACAACAAGTAGTTTTCTCAAGTGACTACTTTCCAATCCTTAAATTTGAAACCAAATTCACAGAGCAACGAAACATTGTCGATAGCTCTATTGTGATGGCAACCAGTGGCTGAAGTAAGTTCATAAATCATTCACAACTTCCGAATAAAATGCATCCCCTTACCAAGTGATAGATGCTAAACATTATTTTTCAACTTTTCTAGAAATACCCATGCCATATAGTAGCAGAGAATGAGTATTGCTTGACAGATATGAGTTCGTCCTACGAAAATGTCTCCATGTTAAAAGTGGGTTCTATTCATCCATCGCCGTACCAAGGCATTCTGAGAGATATTCGTTAATTTGCACAGTCGCATAAATTTTGACCATTACAATGTGGAGCTATTTTATATCACAAAGTGAGGTTGTGCCTGGTTGATAGATTGGTTGATTTTCAACTAGTGGATGGTGAGTCTGAATCTTGCTTTGCCCACAGAGGTCTGGACAGTCAGGTTGTGCAGTCAACCGTCGTGCATCAGATGTGGCTCACCACCTAGTCCAAGAAAATGCATTCGATTTTTTAATTACCGTCAACTATATTTTACTTTACAGTTAACCAATCTATTTAGTAGGCTCATGATTATAATTTGTTTTGATACTTGTTGCTACCAAGAGATTCAGAGACCTGAAATGTAATGTAGCTATCCCAACAGAGAGTTTTATCTTTGGATGTTTTTTTCAGTGTACCAACTTCATTTTCCACATTCCACTTCATAACGGCAAGCATCAGGCGAAATGAAATGATAGGTTGTCACAAGTGTATATTCGAGGTCGTCATGCACATTATTGCCCGTGTACTCAGTTTTACTTACTTCCTATGAAATTAACACTTGTATTCCCTAATAGCGCAAAACAGAATGATGAAAAAACTGGCACGTTTCGTCGAAACTGTGCTGTGACTTTAAAAATGTCATAGCGTTTTTTCTATCCTAGACTTTCAGACGCAACTGCGCCAGACATTCCTTTCATCCTCACTTCTACGAAAACGCAATTCGATTTCAAAACTGACCTTGATGTGTTTCCCCGACCGATAGCCGCTACCTTGACGTGGTGGTTGTGCCTGCATATTACATTGACCTAACGAGCTGCACCGGCTGAAGCGCTTGTTCTCTCGGGTCCTGCCATGCCACAGAGATCAGCTGGATAGTGGTAATACGAAAAGCAGTTACCGTAAGTGTAAAATTGCTACACTATGGTGGCGGTCTGAGAGTGAAGTCGTATTACTGGCTGACGGGTTCGACGATGGTAGGATGTTCCCCTTTGATGACCAGCAGTACCATTAGGTGCTGCCTTTCCGGCGAGAAAAAGGAGTTAAAGAAGTGTGGCCCAAAAAACATCACACTCCTCCCTGCTCCGTCTTCCGGTACCAGCGGTGTTGGTTACCTCTATCCGGCGTTACAGCAGTCAATCCCACACCAATAATTCTCAAAAGGCTATTCTGGGACAGACAACAGGCAAATGTTCTCGCGGACTCTGCGGTCATACAATTTTTTCTCTTTCAAATACCCTCAAAGGAAATAGCCTTCCCTGATATGGATGCCGAGAGGTGTCAGCTACCTGCACGCTTCCAGTAGTATTCATAACCCATTCAAACATAATCTATCCTCATCAACTCTGTCTCCTTCCTTGCCTTCACCTCACTATACTAATATTAGGCTTCGTACACCTACCTCGACTTCTCACTCAGAGACTATTCCCAACAATAAAAACTAAAAAGAGCTCATTCCTAGTCTTTTAAGACCGCACCATCGACTTCATATCGGGGCTTCCAATATCCAAGCTCTATGTCAAATAAGAGAGCAAACATTGCTCCCCAGAACTCTGGAGTCATCGATGTATGCTGTTTCTCCAAGATAAGTACACAGGACCCGAGTATAGTTATTAAATTTACCACAGACGACCATTGTAGTAAATCATCAGAATCCAGCCTATGAGTGTCCTGAGGTTTAAAGGCTAGCTCTCGAGGACTCGCTGGTGTAGGGTTACCATTGATTTGTATACCAGGAAACGTACCTCTCGACTGGAAACCAGTCAACACTCGTCTATGTGCTGTTCGACTAAATGGATCTGTAAGAACTGGAAAGGATCGTGAGACAAACCGATGCCTATTCATAATCTCCGACTACGCACCCACCAACTGCACTTCGCATGAAGCAAAGAATGAGTTCTATTAGACGCTATCAATTTTGCTACAGAAAGCAAAACATTCAGACATAGTCAGAGTAGCAGGCAACTTCAATGTTCAAGTACGAAAGTTGAACAAGTCGGAAGGGCATCTGTGGGATTCCTTGCCAAGGAACTAACAACAGTAATCATCTCTAGTAATCTCGTTCTGATTAACACTAGTTTCTGGCCAGTACTAGCTTCAAACATAACGAGAGACACCATCTCACACGGTGTCCATCGACATTAAACTGACGATAGACACATGGGTTATATTGCTATAAGCCATGATTGAAGAGGATCAGTGGAGAATTACCGCTCTTTCTGCAGTACCTGTATTGACTTGGATCACGTGTTGTCACTGTCCCGTGTACGTCTGCGCCTTACTGGTCTCAGGAGACAGGAAGCAGTTAACCCTGTATGTGTCCGATTAGAAGGTTAGGTCAAGTGTGTGTTTAGGGGATAGATGGCCAGGCATATATCTGAACATGAAAGCAATGCTCAATCAGAGGAAACCTAGCGTCAGACTAGGTCTGCTGTAGAAACAGCTGTAAAGATAATTGATAACCTACATCCGAAGGTAAGCAGGCGTCAATGGATTTCCCGAACCTAATCCGAACTGATTGGTGCAAGAAGACTGATTCCAGCTGGATCTGACCACAACGAGGAGCAAAAGAAACAAACGTAAATTGACCAAATTATCCCAATGATCTGGAGCAGCTGTGGATGGCGAAAGTGAGAGAGATAAGGGAAGCCTCGGTGTTAGACGCCTAGCAACTACTTAGACTTATTAAGAATACCAGCAAAGTGGAAGCCTTGGTTAGTGAAACCATCACTGAGAAGGATTGTTCTCTGGTAACTTCCCTGGACAAGTGGCTAAAACTTTGGGTAGGACGTTTTGAAGTACAGTTCAGCTGGCCTTTAGCGATACTTTGGTTGCCCAACATCTAGCCCGAACCTGAATAGGATGTGAATGTCAGTCCCTCAGCTCTCCTTAAAGTTGAGGAAGCTGCATCGAACCTGAAAGGATGCAACGCAACAGGACCCACCGGTATGCCACCTTACTTTTTTCCAAGGATGGAGGAGGGGAATTTCTAATCAAAGTGACGGAGGTACTAGGCAGTGTATGGGAATTAGAGCTAGTACCGTCAGACTGACCTACTTCACTGATCATTCATCTATAAGAAGGAGAAGTTTTCTTGTGATAACCATACGGAAATTAGTTTGACTAACATCGTTTCCAAGATCCTAGGGTCCGTAGTTATCCAACGCCTGACTGGAGCTCAAGGAGAGAAAACTCGAGAAAATCAGGCAGGTTTTAGATCTAGACGAGGGTGCACCGACCATATTTCCACTAACCGATAGGTTCGGGAACACAGACATACTTACTGACCAATGGCCGACACTTGCTTGACATGTTTTTTAACCTGGAGGCTGTATTTGACTCTTTAAACCGTGGTGTTGTGGTGGTATCTGTCTGTGACGAGAGTACTGAACGGGCATATAATGCATATCAAAGCTCTCTACTGAAAATGACAATGCCGTGTTAGGGCCTTTGGGAAGTCGTCATCCGAACTGACGACAACTAATGGTGTCCACCAGGGATCACTGCTCTTATTTAATTGCGTTATAGATAAACTAATGTACATAACTTTCCGTAACTCTTACTTCACAGGGATTGATCTGCTTCATAGATGGCATCTGATTGACATAGAGTACGATGAAAAAATGCAGGGTCTTCTGAACTCGTTGAGCAGAAATCTGAGTATGTTTAGCATGCGCTTCGCACCTGTCGAATGTAAGATGATCCTTCAGCATTAGTCTAGAAGTACTTCCAGTTTAATGATAGGGAGTAAAGTGGTGGAATGCTACCACTACTTCACGTGCTTAAGAAGTTGCATTAACCCGAACGGGCTGGTCCCTGACAATGTAAGCCCGGATACAGAAGGTTCGTTTGTCACTTGCACACTGGAGGGATATCCAACTACCAGTTAAAGGATGAGTATACTTCGCTGAAGTCCGTTCTTTCAGATTATATGGCCTTTAGGCATGGTTATTGAAGGTCGAAGATGCAAAAAGACTATAGGTTTTGATGGCAAGCGTTTTCGTAACATTGCTGACATGTGGTGGAGTCACCCTGTTACTAATGTCTAGGTTAGGCGAAAGGAATTAAACAAGGCAGGAAAGTTGTTAACATTAGGCGACTGAGGTGGTTTGGACATGTGTGAAATGCACTTAGCAACTCTGTGCACATTCGTGCAGGAGTCGATGAGCTACACATAGTGTGCGAGGGCTAATAACACCACCTGTCTGCTCAAACCTCAGTAGGCGGAGTAGGGCACGGACCTGTGGCCCGGTGGTTGGTAGTCATCTGCCTAAACCTCTGAGTTATAGGTTAGCAAGCAAGTCATATCGCCCGCATCACTACTCGTTGCGCATACGTATACCCAATTAACTTTGTTAGATTTTTAATGTGGATGTAGCACCATCTGACACTTATTTACACCTAGTACACATTCTCATCAGAGATCACTCAAGCCATGAAATGGAAACCATCAATACCTTATTAACTTCTCAGTAACAATTCCTGATAATAGTGACATTTTTCCAGGTACACAGGTTTCACTGCCAGCCCTTCAGGTAGTATGCCATCCCTCACAAAATTTTAAGGTGATGACACTAACTGAAAAAGCTTTATGGGTTTTAATAAAAATGTGGGTGTAACCACTGTTTTCAGGGTGCTGTTAATAAGTCTGTTATTCCCTGTGTCCAAAACTTTTCTTGTAAGTCACAACTCAGTTAAACTGCTCTTACAGCTTTACTTCATATTAAAAAAATATTATGGCTCATAAAAGCATCATATGTTGTTTATCCATTTTCATTTCTGTCATGCAGATATTTGCGATATTGTTTTCCGGGTTATTTTTTGTTAGAAGGCAAATTGAAACTGTTATAATCCCAAACCACTTAAATAGGAGAGGCTGTACCAAAACCTTAGAATATTCATCAGATTCCGTGTTTCAATCATCTGCGCACTGAATTATAAATGAGAATGTATGGAATGATGAATTTATATGAATCTATTTGCCCTATTTTTGAAAAATAGGCATTATTGCTTACTCTTAAGATGGATGTGATGTGCAGTTGTGTACAAGTCAAGCAAAAACGATGCGACATAGTAGCTTGTTGGTCCTAGTTGCTACAATTGACGTCAACATCTAAAAGAAAAACTACCAAGAAGGTGAAAGTAAAAGTAGCGATGTAAACGATGATAACTTGTGTAGGATAAGAAGAATGCTCCTACAGTAGTGTAACTTAAGCTATACAGGCTAGTTTCCAATGATCAATTGTCACCTAAGTTTAACAATGCAGTCCCCAATTTCAGACCTGGATGTGTAATTGGTGACTTCCCAAACCGATAGTTGCTACATTGATGTGGCGGTCGGGCTTGCATATTATAAAGACTCAACGAGTTACTTTGGTTGTAAAAATTGGTTATTTAGTTTTAACTCGAGTAAATCAACTAGTGTTTTCTTTTTACTCTGCAACCCAACGACGCTGACCCCCTTCATCGTTTTCTAATTCATGTATACAATATATATATCTGTTACGATAGGCGGTTTCGTAATAACACCCGTTCTAAATATATTTTACTTTGAAGCTTTAAAATTATGGACTTCAAACATAACCTACCCTTAGCATGATTTCCTGGAGTGATACTTTAGCTTGATGGTCAGCTCAGCTCGTGGTCATCACTGAGTCCATTTCTAATTGCCTTCAGAGCTATGTTGATCGGTACATCAGTGTAGAAGCTAGTTACATCAGAACCAAGCTTTTTTCATTGTTATCTAGTTGTATATCATGTAATTTATGCTTAAACTCACGAGTCATTAAGGTGTGATTTTGAGTAGCTTCTAACTGGGCCTAGTACCATAGGCTAGTTTTTCTAAGATCTACTTTGATTTTGACTGGATAACTCGACTTATGAATTTTGATAATACCATAAATCCCACTGGGATTATTGGCTGTTTGCACCTAATTAAACCATTTCAGCTCATCTAAAAATGGCTTCATTTGGCGTATTTAATTAATCGGTTGTGAATTTCCTAACGTTATTCATAATAGTATTCACTGGTTTCTTAATTTCCCCATACGATCCTGTTTTTATGTGCCTATTCACTTAGCGAATGTAATCAGACTTGTTCAACACAACCGTTGAGTTGCCTTTTCCGATTTGGCAATTACTAAACTGTTATCTTCCTGAAGGTTATTTCAAGCTTCAATTTCTGGTTTTCGTGAAATTGGTTTCATTTTCTTCTGTCACTTTAGTGTTAGTGCATATTTCGCTCGTACACAGCCTCAAAAAGTCAATATTGTGGAGGTCCTAACAAAAAATTGAACATTATATCGTGTATGAGGTTACTAATCCGTATAATGCTGAGTCTGGCGAAGTTTGTGTTGATAAACAGTTTCAATACACTTCATATGACTTATGGCATGTTGCATATGTTAGTACTTGTCACACGAACAGCAGACGTTGAATGAGAAGTTAAAATGCATTTTACAATAATGATAGACGTCTAACTAGTTTGTCATCTAGGATTTGTACTGTTTTAAATCACTGGTGCGCTGAGATTCTCACCCTCCTTGGTAAGTAACTAACTTTCGACTGAACGCCTTTCGAAGTCGACAGACTTGCAATCCGAGATGTTGATATGCACACACTCCAAATTTTTTTACAATTAAGAATACGGTTACCATCTCATTTATTAGTTCATATTATGGTTTATTTTAATTTTTTTTTAAAGGTTTTCATTAGGACAAGGAAAAATGTAATCATTGAGGTCAATCCCAAAACGCGCATACCACGCACATTTGACCGATTTTGTGGACTTATGGTACAACTCTTGCACAAACTATCAATACATGCTGAAGGTGGTAATCGTGAGAAGCTGCTAAAGGTATGAAATCATTCAGTTCGTTTTGCTACGTTTCATTTAAGGTTGTAAAAAATCCTATATCACGACACTTCCCAATTGGTGCTCCAGTTATCGCCACATCATTTTCAGCTAAAGAACAGATCAAACCGCTGCAACTTGCGGAGAACACACAAAAATCTGGTCCTCAGTCAGTTGTCATAGTTATTGGAGCGTTAGCGCATGGATCAATCATCGAAAATTGTAAAGAATTCTTACAACGCACAGTCAGTATCAGTAACTTTCCTTTATCAGCTGCTCAAACATGCTCCCGAATATGCACTGCCTTCGAAGAACTATGGGACGTTGAAAATATAATACGTGAAAATAATGTACAGATTGAAAACTAACCTATTCAAATGCACATAAGAAAACACTTAAAATATGGATGTATACTGATATTAATCATCACGCACTATGACAGCATGTGAGAATGAAAGTTATTCACCTAACTATTATGTACTAAGAACCTACATCAGAATCCTTTTTATGTTGTACATTAAAATACATACAAATAAAAACACCTCATCAACTAAAAGTTATCTTTCATTTCCACCACAGTAAAAACCGAGAGGTTGACCGTGTAACCCTCTTCTTACTTTTAGAGTTTTAATATTTAATTCACATCAGAATTATCATCGTTATCCCATAGTAGTTTATTAAAGAAGAGGACAAAAGACTTAGTCCAATACCCTACGTAAACTGGGTAAATAAAAAAGTCAGTGACAAAGAAATAAGTTAGGCAAACTCAATGATGAGATATTTTTGAAAATATGCGCGTTAAAATCAAGTACTTTTTCCTCATTTCTTAACTGGCATATGACCAAAATCAAGTAACGCGATTAACTGGATTTGTTTAATTTCGTCAGCTGAGGGCGCAGGACGTTCCACGGCAGCTGGTGTTTCACAACTAGCAGTTTCTGAAGGTTTGTCTGGAGTTTTTGAATCACTTGCCTTGCTCGTTGCAGCAGTCAGTAGAGTGGTTGATGTATTCTTGTAGTCGTAATTCAAGTACACTGCTGCTCGTAATGGAATCATTTCTTCAGTAGGTGTAGGGTGTACATCAACCTCTTGATCTTCAATAACTGGAGCTAAGCTTGAATTCTGTGGTGTCCTTATCTTGTCGGTCTTGGGTATTAGAGTTATGTTAATACCTAGTTTGTTACCACGACGAAAGGCCACTATCCTATAGTAAATCGAATGGAAACAAAAATAGTCATTTTGTTGGAGTCAGGGCACAGTGTAAGACCAAAGGATAAAGTGAAATTCATTCCCCAGTACAACTGATAAAAGTAATTATGTTTTCGATAAGTTACATAGGAAAAACGAACTAAGAAGGTAAAATGATATCAATCATTAGAATACCTCTGTTACAGCTTCGAGAATTATTCGCGAGCAACAACTCAAAGCAAAAGTATCAGTACAGCTGCAATTGTGTTCTTCGTTCTTATTACTGTTAGGAATCTCGTGCCAAAGGGATTATAACATGCCCATTTGACACCTTGTATTGTTTGCCCTTATCATTACTTTTATAAATGCAGAAAATAGGTTTTGCAGAAGTTGAGCGAACCATAAGCACATGTACACGAAACAGATTGCAGTGAAATAATGCTGGATTAAAGTAATGATTGTGGTTGGAAGTCTTGAATTTCAACAGGATTTGAACCAAAGAGCTAGAGGTTACAATTGATCCTACATCACATCTCGATTCCTCTTTTATCGTGGAGAGTTCCCCTGTCATGCGAATCAATCATAAGCGTGTGATTGTTCGTTCAAACCATACCATCGCAATCTAAATCGAAATAAATCAAGCGGAAAGTGATGAGCTGTCGATTACATTACCTACAGCTACTTCGGTTTAGCTTAACTACTGACCCATATTCTGTTTCCTTCCAGTGAATTTATCTATTCTGCATTTTCAATAACAATATATTTTGATAATCTAGGTGGTAAGCAGCTGAGAAGATGCAGCCAAGAGGATTCGAGTCAGTTTTATCTTGCTTCAGTTGTTGTTCTTGGCCTTTTCGAAACACCGCTTAAACCGAAGGTGTGATTCATTTACAACTCATAACTTCTGATTTTCATATATAGATATAACGGTTCGTATAGATCAAGTCTGTAAGGTACAAAATTAGTGTGTAATTCTTTTGCCAAGTGATAAATGAGCAGTATGTGTGATTACATCAAATTGGGAATTCCGTATTTCTCTCTATATAAATTCAGCGTTATTGTTGATATCGCTGTACTTTCTCTAAACTTAAAGTAGTGGAGATAACAACGTCATACAGTAAAAATATACAAGTTTGTGCATGCAGAGTCAAAATAACTCTACCTTTTTTATCAAGTGGAGTAAGATTTGAACTAACTACCACATACAGTTTGGCAGTCAACTTCCTTACATCAACCGACCGCTTAGACCTGAATAATTTGATGGGTGTGAATGTCATACACTAAACAGTTCTGTTTCTGCGTTTCGTAGATACTTAAATGTTTTAATATCGTATGTGTATGATTATTCTTGATGGATAGATTCTTAATTTTCCTTTAAAGACTCGAAATCAAATGACAAACATTTAGAAAACGTTCGAAAATATCTCAACTTACTTGGGATCATCTTTGTTATCTACTGAGCTTTGGCCTGAACTCACATCACAATCCATTATGTCATTACGAGGTGCAAGCTTTAATTCTTCATTTGGCAGAATAAGCTGATCGAAAAGAAAGAAGACTAACTTTGTTAACTGCTCTTTGTGGGTTAAATGAAATGAATTTAACAATGGTTATAAAGTTTATGCGATCTTTCTTGAGTGAATGGGATCAGATTGTAACCGCTTGTTGCATCAGTGAGCCTGCATCATAGAAAGACGCATGTGTGACTAACTACACAGGATAAATGAGTGGAACGATGGGTAGGAGGAAAAATTCTACCTGTTAGCAACTACACTTCGGTTACCCAACTATCCAGTAGCTGATGCACCCTAATCCTTCAAAATCTTAATGTCCCATCGTTATTACTTCTACCCTATCTCATTATCATCTTGGGGCTTTTAGCTACTTTTGAAAATATAAAATCCACTTCTTCGTCTAACCTATTTCTATGCTCTATGAGATATTAATTGCAGCAACATAGAAATTTACGCGGTAATGCGGGCTCATATCTTGATATTGCCTGTCTACCAAGTTGGGCCTTCAAGTGAATGAATGCCTACTATACATTCATATTAAAACCCAGAGAGATTTCCCAACAATGAACATTCAACTTCCATGTTAAGTGGTCATAAGCTATTGGTGAAAACCCCTATACTTGAGATTCATGTTTGTGAGAACTTACCAGCAAGACATACCTCCCTCCCTCTAACTTCGAGGGGACTGATGTGATGTAAGAGATTTAAACCCATGTCACCTAGTGCTACAGTCGGAGACGTTACCACTGAGTTATTCTGTCCGTGACTGACTTTAGAACTGGGGAATTTACACTAATTGGTCACTGGGGAGTAACCAATTTCATGTTGTTTAGTTTAAAGTGCTGACTGAATTCTATCCATCACGGTTTGAATAGATCAGTAATTGACTGTAGCATTAGGTAACGCGGATTTTCATTCTCAGAGTTTTCTTGGAGCTGCAGCCACACTTTGCAAGCATAAAACCTAAGTCAAGCAGGACTTCCTGCTGATAACCTCCAACCATTTAACATATATCAAAAGTGCACCACGATGGTGAGTCTCTTAGCCTAGTAAACACGGTGCAAAGTGATCGGTAGAATCCGGTTACGATTTAGGACTAGACAATCATTGTGTGTCCAACTTTGTAAGACAAAGTCCCTGCTTACTGTAAACCCGTCCCAGCCTTTTCTTCTATAACATATCGTACAACTAAAGATGGCTTACTGCATTCTGCAAAAAAGCATGTATGCATGGTTAAATTACAACCCGCATTCACTAAACTCAGATGAAATAACTTCCTTGAACCCTAGAAGTTGAAATACAAAATTGTTAAGGTTTTTTTCTGAATGTGTCAATATAAACACACATGCAATTTTTTGAATCAATCTACGTATTGTATCCGTTAAAAGTAAGTGTTCCACTAGCAAAGAGGCAACTCATATTCATGCGCAGGTGTGAGCCAATTCTAAGAGTAAAGAGAGCTAGTTACAAAGTGGGGGGAAGTATAACTTAGGTAATTAGTTAGTTATCAACAAAATAGATTCATATTAGATTTGTTTATTTGATATAAAGCGCACAGTGATACAGTATTATTTAATACTGTATCACTGTGCGCTTTATATCAAATAAACAAATCTAATATGGAACTACATTCTACCACAGTGCCCAAGTTTTTCACTTAAAATAGATTCATGATGGGGATCTGTTTTACAATCGGGATGTAATAGGTTTTAACAATTAACACAAAACACATAGGCATAGTATGTTCAACATATGTACATATGACAAGAATCCTCCTAATATGGAGTGTACAAGATACTTACATTCACAGTAGAAAAACATGATTCCGGTTCATCAGATGACGATGTATCCCCGGATGGTTTGACTTGTAATTCACCAGTACTATCAGTTTTATCACCAACAGAAAGAGATTCAACTTTTTTAACTATAGATGACGATGAAGGTTTTGGTCGAATTTCATGGTTATTACTAATCAAATGTCCGAGATGGTGTAGTTCTTCACTTGGACTTAACTGACGCAATGAAACAGTTGTAACTCGATGCATTGGATTACTTATAGTAAGAATCATATTCAATTTCTAAACAAAGAAAAGGTATATCTGTTAGAGAGGATAAAACTGCATTCATGATTGATAATTTCTTGGCTATAATTTAGACTAAGAAGCCATTAGGATTTCCTTCGATGAATTGCGGAGAAAAATTGTCTATATAGGTGACCAAATGGTGACTGTTGTAGGTCTTTAACAGCGATCTGGTGACCATTCTCAAAGTTTGTTCCCTACAAAGAAGTCTTTTCGCTTCTGGAATATAATTTTTCTTAATACTTCGAAACAAATGCACACAGCTTTGAATTTAGCGCTGCTGAAACCCCTAGAAACTAGCAGTTAGTTTATTAAATGGCACTAAATGAGTGATAATTTTGTTCCATCGGTACTCACCAGTGAATAGCTATCATCGGTCTGGTGACCTAGGAATCCTAATACTCACTAGTGAAGATTTCAGCAAGAAAGCTCAATGTTTGAACTGGTAGCGCACTTGCTTCAGATGCAAACTTCCTACACAAACAGAACGACGAAATTATTTGAATCAAACAGAAAAAAGTGAAACCTAACTCAGCCTAGTTCTGATCTGAAATGTTCCCCTTGTTATCACTAACATTACCTCCCATCCTTTGAGTCTGCCTTCATATAAGTGAGATTTCATGTGTGACATATCGCTTAATGTCAACTTGTACCAAATTTTTGCTTTTGAAATGGAGTAAATAAACAGCTCTTGATATTAAAAAGCATATTACCATATTTCACAACCATTTGCCAGGTAAACATCATTCCATTCACAATTTATGATATAGAGCCATTGATCAAGTTATAATTTATTTATTTTATTAGTCTTTTGGATTCCTAGTGAAGCAAAGGGCTTCAGTAGCACGTCACCGTTTCACTCTCTTCTCTGTAGTCTTTTAAAACTGGCTTCCAAACTGCCCAGGAACTTCCTCACATTATCTCCTCTATGTCACCCTCGGACACCTGATTCATCGTTTCCCATTTGGGTTCAACTCGAGTGCTTGACCTGGTGCGTGATGTCCCCGAACCGTCTTCTCAGTGCATGTCCAATCCAAACCATCTCCACCTTCTTCTACATATTTATTAGGTGAAACGTTCTTGCATGGTTTGTTGCCAGCGTTCTTTGATACTTATTAGTTCTGGCAATCTGATCTTCAGTATCCAGTAACTGTAAAAAGCAGCTGTTCGTGCGTCCGCAGTTCCTTAGAAATCCTTTTCGTAACGCCAAGAGTCTCTCAACCATCAAATACAAAGACTGACTTGACTGAATTAGTGTTGAAAATCCAGATCTTGTTCTTTATGCTGAGTGCAATGCAGTTAACCTTCATAATGACTTCAGATTATTGAAGGCCTCTCTTGCTTTAAGGCTCGTCACTTTCACATCCCATCTGTCCGCCACCGCCTGTAGTTAAAAGGATGCTACGTAGGTAAGTCGGTGAAAGAGACAACCTCCAAGGAATCCTTACAAAGAATGGACTCTACAGTTTGAAAAAACCTGTGCACCTAGTAACTATCATACAGCGCATAAGCTGCATCCTTACGTGTGTAATCCTGGTGTCATATATATTAAAACAAATAACAAAATAAACAAATATTTTGTTTCTTTATCTTGAGATGAATTGGGATTTTAAATTACAAGCAGCATTCATCATCGAATGACATCAGCTGGAGAACCATTTCATGGCGAAAAATGTGTTTTACCTGTCTGATATACGCTGAACCGATGAAAAGACAATTTCGCTGATGCTTTTTGTCTAATACCGCACAAACTCGAAGATCTACAGGCAAAAACTAACCGGTCCGGAACTTCCTTAGGGTGAACGTAGAGAAAACAGAGGAGGTTAAGATGCCAACCAACAACAACAATCACCATTAGCCGGAGAAATATAAATGAAATTGTCGTTCATAGCATAAGCTGTATTTTTACTTGTGTAATCCCGGCGTAATATATTAAAACAAATAACAGAATAAACAAATATTTTGTTTGTTTTTTTTGAGATGAATGGGGATTTTTAATTTAGAAGTAGTATTCATCATCGACTGACATCAGTTGGGGAACCATTGAAAATCTGGGAGCACTGGACAGCTGTTTTGTTCTAGTATGGGACTCCTCAGCAGTACGCACCCACGACCCGGCTAGGGATCGAACTCAGAACCTTCGGGTTTCACGGCGAACGCGTTAACCATTCAGCCACTGGGTCGGTTTCCAGTGGTTCACAATTTCCAATTTCTGTCAATTCACGAGTCCAGTGCTCCCAGATTTTCAATGGTTCCCCAACTGATGTCAGTCCATGATGAATACTACTTCTAAATATTTTGTTATTCCTCAACGTTTCGATCTTGCCAAAAAGATCCTTTTCAAGAGTATGAATCTGACATTAAGTTTTCAGGTTAATATTCAAGTTTTGGTACAGAAAGTGGTGACCTTTACAATCATCCGATTACATCGTGATATGGAGCAAAGATCGATGTAATACAGGTGAGTGAATAAGCAAGTCGGTCAGAGAGGCTCTTTTCAGTTGTGCGAGTAAGGTGGAACAGAAATGGGGTGGGGAAAATTTTTAGTTCGTTTATGAAAAGTACAATGGGGTTGTGAGACATCAAGTGTGAGAAAGAATAGACAACTAGTTTGGAAGGATGAATATTTGAACATCAGACAATATACAATAATTATGATTTGACTAAGATAGCCGTAGTTTGGCAGACTAGTATTTGTACAAAGATATAATAAATAAGTAATAACGATAAAGGTACTTTTGATAACAGAATGGATTGTAGAATGTATATAACTCAGAAAGGAGCGTAAAATTGATGAAAATAGTAGATCAATAGAGTATTATGTAATAGGAATAGACAAGTTGTTAAAATACAATCAATATTTTTTGACGCGATTAAGAGAAATAACACCGGAAACTATTCAAGCAAGAGTAAATTAGTAATGAATCATGTGGAATGAAACTATGTTCTACCTTCTTTTCATATACTATTTATAACTGCTTATGCAAGTCATTGTTTGCCATATTAGTGGGACTTCTAACCCATCTTTCCTGTTGACCGAAAAAGGAAATGAACAGACGTGCAAAGCTTCTGCAATGGTCCGCTTTTTGTGAGGAAGAAAGCCCTTTTGCAGGACTTTCGTCTTTTCGAATGATATTTTATGACCTGAATATAGGGCATGAGCCACGATGGCAGAGCTTTCTTCAAGTTTTTCTAGATCGCACGAATTTTTCGGCGGTTTCTTGGGACTTCGACCGTGTTCTGCTAGACGTGATGTCTCTTCAACGTATGTGGCATCGCATTCACTACAGTCTACCTTATAGACACAGTTTTGTTGTTCCAAATGAGGAGTCAGATCTTTTGGTTTACACAGGTGTGAGTGTAATGTATTCGTTACCTTAAAGAATACTCTGATGTTGTAACTATTAAGGATACGTCTTATTTCCTCTGAAGTGGATGTTCGATAAGGAAGTACTACAGTACTTATCCAATCTTTATGGCTTGGCTTTTTCCTACCTTTATTCGATGAACTTTTCCGATCCCTTTTTAATAGTTTTTTCCGGATAGTTATTTTGTTTTAAGACTTCTCGAACAAGTTGCCTATCTGCTTGCTGAGATTCCACTTTATTTGGTATCCTTTATGATCTCGTCAACAGGTTTTTGGTAACGTCTAACTTAGTTTCCAATGGATGAGCCGAATCGAAGTCAGGGTACTTGTTAGAATGTGTATCTTTTCGATAGACATCAATACCAACTGTCCCATCATTGTTTCGTATCGCCTTGCAGTCTAGGAAAGCTAGTGTTCTGAAAATTCTGTTTGTAGTTCATATGTGAATTTTATAGAATGGAAACGGCTGTTAAGGTATTCAAAAAGATTTTATATTCCTTGCTTTTTGGTTATGACGAAGGTGTCATGAACATACCGCCACTATATTCTTGGTTTTAGATTATATTGGCTAAGTATGTCTGATTCTACTTTGTGCGTGAACCCATCGCTACCCATCCTACTGGTTTGACGACAAAGGTTTCCTCGAAAAGTAGAAAAGGTCAACGTCAGATATAATCTCAGTGCATCACAGATTATAAAAAACAGCGTTTGAAGGCGACGAAGCAGTGGTTAGCTTTGATGTTGTTTATTTATATACAAATTTTCCGATTGATGAAAGCAGCCGTTTCCATTCTATAAAATTCACATATGAACTACAAACAGAATTTTCAGAACACTAGCTTTCCTAGACTGCAAGGCGATACGAAACAATGATGGAACAGTTGGTATTGATGTCTATCGAAAAGATACACATTCTAACAAGTACCCTGACTTCGATTCGGCTCATCCATTGGAAACTAAGTTAGACGTTACCAAAAACCTGTTGACGAGATCATAAAGGATACCAAATAAAGTGGAATCTCAGCAAGCAGATAGGCAACTTGTTCGAGAAGTCTTAAAACAAAATAACTATCCGGAAAAAACTATTAAAAAGGGATCGGAAAAGTTCATCGAATAAAGGTAGGAAAAAGCCAAGCCATAAAGATTGGATAAGTACTGTAGTACTTCCTTATCGAACATCCACTTCAGAGGAAATAAGACGTATCCTTAATAGTTACAACATCAGAGTATTCTTTAAGGTAACGAATACATTACACTCACACCTGTGTAAACCAAAAGATCTGACTCCTCATTTGGAACAACAAAACTGTGTCTATAAGGTAGACTGTAGTGAATGCGATGCCACATACGTTGAAGAGACATCACGTCTAGCAGAACACGGTCGAAGTCCCAAGAAACCGCCGAAAAATTCGTGCGATCTAGAAAAACTTGAAGAAAGCTCTGCCATCGTGGCTCATGCCCTATATTCAGGTCATAAAATATCATTCGAAAAGACGAAAGTCCTGCAAAAGGGCTTTCTTCCTCACAAAAAGCGGACCATTGCAGAAGCTTTGCATGTCTGTTCATTTCCTTTTTCGGTCAACAGGAAAGATGGGTTAGAAGTCCCACTAATATGGCAAACAATGACTTGCATAAGCAGTTATAAATAGTATATGAAAAGAAGGTAGAACATAGTTTCATTCCACATGATTCATTACTAATTTACTCTTGCTTGAATAGTTTCCGGGGTTATTTCTCTTAATCGCGTCAAAAAAATATTGATTGTATTTTAACAACTTGTCTATTCCTATTACATAATACTCTATTGATCTACTATTTTCATCAATTTTACGCTCCTTTCTGAGTTATATACATTCTACAATCCATTCTGTTATCAAAAGTACCTTTATCGTTATTACTTATTTATTATATCTTTGTACAAATACTAGTCTGCCAAACTACGGCTATCTTAGTCAAATCATAATTATTGTATATTGTCTGATGTTCAAATATTCATCCTTCCAAACTAGTTGTCTATTCTTTCTCACACTTGATGTCTCACAACCCCATTGTACTTTTCATAAACGAACTAAAAATTTTCCCCACCCCATTTCTGTTCCACCTTACTCGCACAACTGAAAAGAGCCTCTCTGACCGACTTGCTTATTCACTCACCTGTATTACATCGATCTTTGCTCCATATCACGATGTAATCGGATGATTGTAAAGGTCACCACTTTCTGTACCAAAACTTGAATATTAACCTGAAAACTTAATGTCAGATTCATACTCTTGAAAAGGATCTTTTTGGCAAGATCGAAACGTTGAGGAATAACAAAATATTTAGAAGTAGTATTCATCATGGACTGACATCAGTTGGGGAACCATTGAAAATCTGGGAGCACTGGACTCGTGAATTGACAGAAATTGGAAATTGTGAACCACTGGAAACCGACCCAGTGGCTGAATGGTTAACGCGTTCGCCGTGAAACCCGAAGGTTCTGAGTTCGATCCCTAGCCGGGTCGTGGGTGCGTACTGCTGAGGAGTCCCATACTAGAACAAAACAGCTGTCCAGTGCTCCCAGATTTTCAATGGTTCCCCAACTGATGTCAGTCGATGATGAATACTACTTCTAAATTAAAAATCCCCATTCATCTCAAAAAAACAAACAAAATATTTGTTTATTCTGTTATTTGTTTTAATATATTACGCCGGGATTACACAAGTAAAAATACAGCTTATGCTATGAACGACAATTTCATTTATATTTCTCCGGCTAATGGTGATTGTTGTTGTTGGTTGGCATCTTAACCTCCTCTGTTTTCTCTACGTTCACCCTAAGGAAGTTCCGTCTTCGATACTCTGTATCTTCTTTGAACCGGTTAGTTTTTGCCTGTAGATCTTCGAGTTTGTGCGGTATTAGACAAAAAGCATCAGCGAAATCGAAACCTTCTATTGTCTTTTCATCGGTTCAGCGTATATCAGACAGGTAAAACACATTTTTCACCATGAAATTAGTTTCTCAAGGTGTCTATCGCAACAAATCAATGATGCTCTGAGTTATATGAAGGAACTTTGCACATTTAAGTTCGTATATTTTCTCCCAACTACTTTTATATTTATTTGTGTATCGGTTTACCATTTTATGCATTGTGTCTGAACTTCGCTAGCCTATATTACGTTTTTGGTAATCGTCGTCGACATTAACATAGGACCAGGCATTACTGCGTAACGGTCCGGGTTGCCGCACCTCATATCAGTACATAAGGAAAAAGTGAAGTGCGAGGTGAAGATAAGAAAATTCAGTCGAAAGAAATATAAAGTACGGAAAGAGAGAAACGAAGAATGAGAAAATGGTGAGATTCAGTATAGCGTTGTTGAGATGAGAATAATGTGTGTATACACCTCCACCACTGACATCGGTCCTGAGCTATGTGATCACCTAGAGTCTCCAACCACTGGTTCCTCTTGTCCCGCGGACCCCAACTGGCTAGTCTACATGGCTCAAACCAACGATCAGAGACTTTATACATTGGTGCTATGTTTTAGTCTGGCCACCTCGAGCCTTTTTCCAGCCTGGACCTACTTGGGCCAACATTGCGTGACGAGGTAATCGACGACTAGGCATACGTAATATGTATCCCAACCATCTCAGTTGATGAAGGTTCGTTTTTGGTAAGTTGTACATTGCAGCGGTATAACTTGAAGTATTACAAAAAAGCTGGTCGAACATATCCTTACCTGACCAGGTGCAGCATTAGAGTGTATAACAGGTTCACACCTCATGGCAACTAATGTTGTAGAGGTACGACGTTGAAGTGTCAAGTCAATTTTACCCGTAGTCAGTTCAGCTGTAGACGTTGTTGATGATGAGGATGGCTGTGGTGTTGATGGTGGTAATATCATGTATCGAAGTTCAGGTACATGGTAAATGGCACTTAGATTGATTCGAAATTTAATAGAACTTGGATTAAAATCAGCTTTGCATAAATTGTGTTCGCAAACACGACAACGCATTGATCGTTTAACTACTAAATTTTTTGGTCGTGGTTCCAACTGTGATTTATACCGTGGTTGAACTTGCGGAGCTAAATGACGCTGACGAATATTTGTTACTTGAAGAAAAATGAAAGTAAAAAACGAGAAGGGACATAAGTAATTTAGAGACTAACTGTCATAACTGAGAAAAAACAACCATACAGAAATAGAATGAATGACCTAATCTACTCGAAAATGAAGCGTTCCAGTAGGCAGATCATCAGTACATGAATGCATAGATGACTCACACACAGAAATTGCGTCTGTCATATGACTGTAAACTAGAATGTGGAGAAAGCATTTTCTAGGCTCTTATAAACATTGAGCTTACTCCACCTATATTTTTTTCATTGCAATCACTTAACCTTCTTATGTAATTGAAATTACTTTGAAGTTATTACCTGAAAAGATATTTATGCACATGGTGAATGCATAGTATTCGTATTATCCGGTTTTGAGCTGATAATCTGATTGATCACTCAGCACTAACCAGTATCATGCTTTCGAGTACTGAGGGCTGTTAGTTTTACAGACCAAGTAGGAATTTTGGTTACCGAACTAGATCTATCATCATGATATTAAAAGATAGAAAGTATTCGATAGAAAAATCTAAACCTAGTGTTATGTCGGTCGTATTATTTTATTTATTTGAATAAGTACTTTATTAATGCAATTCGGAGGTTTGTGTGGATTTATTAATTGATTTCAGGTTGGCATTTTTATCATGAACTAACATCAGTCGAGGAAACATTAGAAACCTGGGAGCTCTAGGTAGCCGTTTTGTACTAGTATGGGACTCTTCGACAGTGCGCATCTATGACCCCGCTAGGGATCGAAGCCAAGACCTTCAGGTTCCGCGGACAGTCCCTTACTATTGAGCCGCTGGGTCGTTATTGACTTATGACTTAGTCGATAGCATTATTGTATAGCTCAGCTATTGAGCTATCGACTCTCGTGTCACTTATAGTTAGGAAATAATTGCATGTTGACACATCAATTATTGCGTATAATCTCATTTTCTGTGCGGTAAATTGGTTGTTTAATTTTTATAGTGCGCTGTGACTGCATAACTTATTTTTACATATGTAGGTGATTCCAATTGCCAAAATTTATAGACAGTAAGCAATAGACTATGTTCTGTTGTTCGCGGTTGAGAGGACCGAATTGCAAGACTCATCGTGCGTACGAGTAGCTCTAAAAGCCACCCTAACAAATACTGAAGTAACTAATCAGAAAAAGCTACCTTTCTAAATGGAATACAGGAACCTTATTGGTTATTTCAGTCGTTGCTAGGGTGGCCTTCGAAGTCGCTTTACGAGACGTGATCAGTAAGCTGAGCGACTTTGAAGGTCATCCAAACAACAACTGAAATAACTAATTAGACTTCTCTATTTCATGAAAATCTGCTTTTCTAGCCTAAATAAAGAAACCTAACTGGTCATTTTGATCGTTGTCAGGGTCGCCATTAAAGTTACCTCCTATGTGTGAGATTAATCGCATGTGAGGTCAGAGTTAGTAGTGAATAAGTCTGCAAAGTCACGTGCTTCAGACAATCGCAACTAAACAAAGTTAGAACACAGGCTTTCTGCTTGTAGGCAGTTTCACTAAACCGAGATCCCGTTGCTCAGTTGGCATACACGAGGACAAGGCGACCTAGGCTTTCCTCTAGCTGGACTCATCAATCCATTGCATTAAGATCAGTCTGCCAACTAAACCTATTCGAGAGAAAGTAACACGCGTGAACATTTTACTAGTTAAGTGTTTGGGTTTCTTCAGTTCTGAAACTTGGACAGCACAGCTACTTCGTTCAACTAAGAAAGTTAGATTTAATTTCACTAGTATTCCAAATTTCAGGATGCTGCTTTATAATGAAGTATTCATAAAACTGACAAATGATTATTCTTGAATTAAACAGCGAAATGTTGTTCAGGTTGAACATTTAGTCGAATTTCAACTGCTTTAAAGCATGAAACTCAACAGGAACCCAGAATATTTCTTATATTGTCATGTTTGTTGTATTTTGTATCTCCTGATGGTCAGCATTTGTCTTCTAGCAATGCTATACACATCAATATCATGTTTTGACCCATGAGTAACCAAAATCTAAATAACAAACTTGTTCAAACTTCCATTTCCTATCTTCGAATTCCCCTTTGAAGTGAACAACTGCCAACGTAATTACATGTCTCAGTAAAAGTGGATGTTGTTGTTCATTACTTCAGTTATTAGAATATCCAAAAGTATCTCTGCTAATAAGTTTTCGTTCGACTTTTAGTCATTATCCCTGTAAGCATTATAAAGCATACAAGTCAATGTGATCCACCACTGTCCAACCAAAAAAGCTCAGACCATACTTCTGTGAGAAGCTTTGATATTATTTATCTCAAACAAGCTGAGACCTATATAAATATAACGTAATTTATGAGTTGTAGTCCTACTCATTTAGGTTGGTACATAGAACCACTCGTAACTCACAAGTAGTATTTATAACTGAAGGTTAGATCAGCAAATAGCATCTGTGATCATTTTAGTTACAGGAATACTTTGAGTCATCCACGACAAACAGACATGTAGTCTGAACTGTCCAGGAACATATTAGGTCCTTGGAATTTTTATTTTGAAGATATCATAATTTCTGCGATTGGTTTAAAAGATAGAAGACTGTCATAAAAGTTATCATTCGTTGATTATCACGAAGTTTCCGAGTCCATATTCAACGGTTAGTTATTAACTTTTGCTTGGTTTACTGAATAGAATGTGTTATAAAGGCGGACTTATTTTGCTACTGTGGATAAGTTATTGAATACAGTTTTCAACGGGTCAAGTTAACCAAAGGTTGAAAGATGTGTTCAACAGCACATTTTCAACAGCAAAATAATTATGCCTCTTTAATACGTTGTTGGGTAAGGTGGACAAAAGGAGATAAGTATCCGTTAAACATCACCTCTAATTCTATTTGCCAGTTTAAATATAAGTATAAAAGCATGCACACTGAAATAATATAGCGATAAGCATCTATACAGCTCACTGAAAACACTCCCAGAAATCTGACTCAGAAAGGACAAAAAATATGGATTGATCGGCAGTCACTGAACAGAAGATGTGAAATAAAAGTAATAAATCCATTGAAAATAACCAAAAAACAATGCGATTCCAGTTTAATCAAATTCTTACAGTAAATAGCAATTAAACGTTAGAAAACCTAACTTTTATGCTCAGAAAACGGCACTGGTTACTGTTCTTCAACTACATTGATGATATGACTTTTCACCCTATTTGGTTTCTTTTTTGTCATTGTTAAACCCTAATTATAACACATTACATTTAATTCGAATTTTATCTTATGTTAGATGGTTGGAGGCGACCGGCGGGCAGCCCTGTTTGACCCGGGTTTCGTATCTTTAGCACTTGTCGGCAAGGTGTATCTGCAAGCACGAGGGAAATGATATCTCCCAAAGATTCGAACTCATGTCACCCAGTGCTGCAGTCAGAGACCTAACCACTGAGCTATTTGGCCCGCGATTGACCACCTGTAAGACTGAATTAAATACATTGAAGGGTCACCAATTTCATGCTGTCTAGTCCTAAGTCCTGACTGAATTCTATCGATCAATTTTGTGATATGGTTACCAGGCTAGGATCACGGTGCACTTTGATTAATGTTAAATGGTTGAAGGCAATCGGCGAGAAGCTATGAACCTAAGTTTTCTACTTGTTGATACTTGTCAGTATTTCAATTTCCCGTTCTATAAATTATCTTAAGTATCCTAAATATATCACTTCAGTTAAATTGCCAAGAAACAATCTTTCCCACCATTCTAAATTTCGGTTTCGTCTTTCATACGATTTTCTTTCAATCCTTGACGAACACATTTCTGAACTTTGAAATATGTCGCTATTCACAGAGTAGCAGTATGATCAGTTTAACCGTGCAGCCATCATCATGGTTGTTAAAGGCTGAAAAAATTAGACGTTTATAAGTACTGAAACAATGAAAATAGTGCTCATGTTTAATGGAATGATATGACGAGAAATGTTGAAACCATATTCAGAATGCTAGGTTAATGACACTGGTCATTTAACGGATTAGTTAACTGGAACATGTTTTAGACAATGTCAGTGATGTTGATAAAACTAAGGAATGGAGTTGAAGATGTCCATACGAATAATCAGTTCATCAGAGCGAATCGATGGATTAAGTCACTAACTGTCAATCAGTATAGTATAGGGAAATATAGTCTTTTCAGCTATATTTCTCAAGTGTTAAAAAACACTGGATGAAAATCTTAGGCAGAAGCTTAAAAATGATAACAATAAAGAAGATAAAAGTAAGCTTTTCTTTCATTTCCTCGTCAGTAATGTCTGCATATATTGTTTCTTCTTATGTGTTACTATAAATGCGTCAAATTGAACTGAAACATTTTCTGTATGCATTTTCAAGTCTTCAACATTTACATTTCAGCACCAAAATGCTTTTTCCCGTTCAATCATCATTCATTCGAAGATCGCTGGTTGAAATCTTGACATGACGTACATTTTCACTAACTTCATAATCATGATGTACAACATAAAAAAATCAAAAACCCATTTGCCTAATTTACATAAAAATTATAACAGAAATTATAAAAGTAGTAACCAACTTTTATCAATATTCAATGGTTTGTTGATATATTCATCCAAATCGAAAGGTGGAACTTCTGAAAAGGCTTCTGCGGACGGAATAACCACTTTTTTAGTGGGACCACTTTCTCTACTATCAAAAGACAACAAATTTAAACAAATTGCAGCTAATATTAGTCGGAATTAATTTTGAGAATAAATATGTTCGATTCTTCTACACCTCACTAGTAGGCATCTCTACAGATTAATGTACTAAGCAATAGATTAGTGTGTTTTGCCAAGATTGATAGTTCCTTACAGTTGCCCAGAAAGATTTGTGCGTAACCGCGTTTTACTAATGACTTAGTTGCTTTACTTACTAAAAATGCACTTGGTTTCAAATGCTAAACATAACAACCAAGAAGAATAGAAATGTATTACTCAGATGGAAACATTTCATCTAAAAACCGGAAAGTATGTCTTAAATTTTAAAAGAAATTATTTCCCGCAGATAGTGTAAGTTATGAAGGCTAGTAATAGTTCAAGAAGGCAACAATGTAATAAGTGGTCATTCGTGTGCTAAACTAGTCCACTTGTGTACATATCTATGTACTGCAGTGATATGCTAACTAGTGTAGAAGTAGGATGAAAGCACTTGGCTGGCGAAATGATAATTCGATATAAATCCGCGAAATTAGCAGAAAAACAAAAATCAGTAATATGAAGAACCAGCTAGTACAGCTAAACATGGATGTCACTCGTTCACATACACTCATTATTTATGTCATTCTAGGTATTGATCCTTATTTTTTGTTGCCTGTCCAGTGTTGCAAAACTTTTTCTTTGGTTATTGGGTGCGGTGCTCGAAATCATGACGAATTGAGGTACTACGCTTGTCATGTTCTATACTGAAATAATCAATGATCATAAATATGTCCAGACACTACACACGTTGTTCATATGAAGTTAATACTCAAGGCCAGTCAAAATTTGCTGCCCAAAAGTATCTCAGTTTCACAGAAAAACGTGTTCAATGTTGAAATAATCGCTAGAGTTAAAAATAACAGTACTGAATGTACCTAAGCGGCAAACCACATACATTCAGAAAAGTTTCTTTAACGAATCATCACTTGGCCGATAATAAAATGTACACGCTTGTAAGATATGGAGAAATCCCTACATTGAAATCATCACATCATTAGATATCATAGTATATGATATGGGAAAATACAGTACAAACTTGATTAATGTAATTTAGCCAGCACTGAAGACTAAACAGTATGTGACAGTGGTCAGTGTAACGCATAAGGACATGATATACTTTAATATATGTGAAGTTATGGAGTTGTTTTTAACCAAACATACACTATAACCTATATGAGTAAGTTTTAATATAACCCCAGAGTGTTTAGGAAATCAAAACAAGATTTTTCTGAACAGGCTGAAAGAAACAGTGTTGAACATCTTTGTTTACACGCACATTACAACGCATTGGACATGAATTAGGGCCTGTTGAAATACATTCGTAGATGATCACATGCTAATGTATTTCGAACCGGTAACTGTTTATGTACACTAGGCTACCAGTCACATTTATTGTAAGGACTCATGATACCACTCTGCTACGCAAAGCATAATAGGTGAGTTAGGACTTAAACCCCAAACCTATTGAATGAAAGTCGAAATGCTTGAGTTAATGAGTCACATCTCCAAATGATGATAGCACAACTGCAGAAACAACCAATCACATTACAGATCATTATTACAAACTTTTTGTGTGTAGTCTTTCACACCTCAACTCTTGAAATGTTTACTAGTGAGATGCTCTCTGGAATAACAATCAAAGCTTTAAAATGAGATGAGAGAAACACCAAAATAAAGGACCGAAAAAGAAAAGTAATATAGAGAATAACTCACTTCGGTGTTGTCCATGAAGATGAACAGTAGCGTCTTAAACGTGGATTAAGAACAGGGTAACGTTCCTAAAACAAGATGCAAATTTTAAACCTATATGTAGGGGAACCATACACTGCATGCGCATAAACTGCCATCGTAAAGTTAAACTTAATAGCTATACTGTGTTACATATCATGCTGAATAAAAATACAATCTTTTTTTCTGTGTTAGCATATGGAGTGAACAAGTTTGGGACCATAGGAAGGTCGTCTTTAGGTGATCAAAGGGGACTAGTCGGTTGCAGATCAGATAATGAGGAACATCTGCAATTTTTCACAGATCACAGTCAGTTTCTAAACAGCACCTACTTTCAGAGAAGACATCATTGGTGGGTCATCTGGAGTCCCACCTGTCACTTAAACAGATTATATTGGAGTCAGCTACCGATGAAGTCGGTGTATTCAAGACTGCCGTTCATTTTGAAACACCTGTCATTGACTCCGATCACGTCTCAGTGTGTGCTAACTTCATTAATTGTTTAGGCAGTCACCAAATTATTTGTCCTAAACCGGTCAATGCAAGCAAACTGGTTTCACGTAGTGTTGCATCTAAATAACGAAATGAGCCAGACTCAAGGCTAGCTCACGAACCTCCAGCAACTATGGATAAGCATTGACTGCACTTCAAGGGCGCCAGGAAAATGGCTAGTAAAGTTGCTTGTGGCTTTGAAGACCGTCTCGCCAAAAAACCTGGATCTCTGCCAGCTTTTTACTTTCGCCGGTATATCCAGCCAGACAGTTAGTACAATGCTGTGCGAAATTCCTTACGCGGCAGATCAAACAGCATTTGCTCAAAGGCTGTGAAGACCTGATGGGATGGAAGCAGCAGTTGCATCTAGAGATAGTGGAGAGCAGTCCCAGCTCATTCAAGCCACTGGCAGCACGGAGCTTAGTTTCAGTCAGACAGTCTGAGAAGTGGATGATACGTTGATCATCAACTTTCATTGGCGCCTGGAGCCCTGGACGGAGCACTTCGAAAGGCAGGTCAGCTGGTTTACCGCTCCAGCAACACCAGCCTGTAACTTGTGTTTCATTGTTAGTTAACCTAGTCGCCTAATGTAGTGGAGACCTGTAAGGAACTCCAATTACCAAAGCACCATAAGATACTCAGTCCTGACAACCTACTCCCTGCTTGTTTTAAGGACGAAGACAACAATATAGTTAGGGAACTTTTTAGGAAGGTACAGCAGTGTGAGCGTTCTATCACTGTGGAATGAAGACATTATTTTATCTATCTATGAAAAGGGTCTATGTAATATATATAATAACGACCGAAGTATAAGACTGCTACCGATAGCACTTAAAGTATTGGCTATTATCATGCTTCGCAGGTTATGTAAAACGCACGAGAAGCAAGCCCGGTTTCGTCCATATCGCGGATGCATTGATCACGCGTTCACCCTCTGACAGATGCTTGAACATCGTCACATTAGTAGTGCAGGCCAAAGAATGTTGTATTCCTCAATATTTGGGCCATCTTTGATTCGCTTAAAAAGGCTGTACTCAGAGACTGCATTATAAAGGCTTGTGCCTGGGAAGTTTCCTAACATATTGAACACCTCATACTTCAGCATAACAATCAGAGCGAAGAAACATAACTACTTGTCACCATTGTTCCTACCCAACAATGCGGTTAGGAAAGTTTGCCGTATTTCACCCTAACTTCGCCATCAAAGGTATTCTAGGAACGGCCCTGAAGAAAGTGCATAGTGGTGGTGGTGGCGTAGACGTGTTGCTAAGCGGAAAACTTTCGAGCTCAAGTATGCGGACGACGTCGTTTAACATTGTGAAAATATACACGCACTCAAAACGTAAACTTAATCAGTTGGCGATTAGACTTCATTTTTGCTTTCCACCATCCAAGCGCAAAGTGCTTCTACAAGATTAGCACCCTTGGTGAATGACTTGAAGTTGTGGAAAAGTCTGTGTGCCTTGGTAGTTGTATGAGTTCTGTTGAGTATGTGGGTAATGAGATTTCCAACCGAATGTCCAAAGTAAGGGTGGCATGCACTAGTCTGGGTCACTCTTAGCATCGTCGAGAAGTTAACTTGTCTATTAAGGGATTAGGTATACTAAGCGTCCGTGCAGGTATTCCTCCTGTACGCCTGTAAGACCTGGCCTCCACAACCTGAGGATATGCGATGACTCTGCACTTTCCATCACCGTTGTGTCCATAGAATTGCTCACATCCGGCGAACTAGAAATAAGAAATTCTGAGGCGAGGCGGCGTGTTTCTAGGCGGGATCCAGATCGATATGCATTGATCATTATCTTCAAACATGTGTTTTGATGACTGACATGTGTTATGCATGTCTTCCCAGTGGCTCCTAAACAGTTCACTCTTCGCCTGCCCCAGAACTGGTTGAAAAAAGCGAAAAGCTAGCCAGTGTATGTCGTTATACTATGGGATAACGGGTGGTTGCGTTGGGTTAACATCTATGAGTGCCTCATGACTCCCTAGATGGGGTCCGAAAAGTCATACAACTTAGTGGGTTTAGAGAATAGCAGACATGCCTCAGATTCAAAATCAGTGACAATCACGCTTCATTTTTTATGTTTCTTCTACCAATGAAAGGTAAAAAGAAAGTAGTGGATACTTCTTTGAGTGGATTTTTGACGCCGCTTCTTGAATAATCCATTCCTTTCTTTGTTTTCATGTTTTCTTCCGTTTCCTATGTCATGACTTTGTTTTATTGTTTTATATAGTGTATCTCTTAATGCCTACGTCGTACCAAGTTTGTGTCCTAATATTAATAATAATAATAATAATAATAATAATAATATATTGAAGAACATTGTAAAAATGCCATAGAAGTATCCTCCAGCTGAATAGTCAAATATATATCAGAATTATAGACAATGATGAGAATAGTTGTACGAAAGAAGAATTAACTTTAAAAATCTACCAGTAAGATCATATAATTTCTTTTCCGGGCAAATTTATTCCATTCTTGATCCTCTTTCTCTTGAACAGCTAAGTGATGATAGCTATCGATCAATTCAGATATCTAAAAAGTTGTGATAAAACACTTTCAAATTAGTAGCAAACTAAAACAATTTGCTAAATTCTAACGCGTACAACAACAATAACAATCCGTTGATGAGATTTCTCTTCCACTAATCGATACATGCGCAGTACTACAGCATTTCATTATCAAAATCACACATCATCCTGACAAGTTAAAAAAGAAAGGAGTTCTGATCAGATTATTACCAACACACCTCAAAGCTATCTCAATAGCTGAAGGTTCACGAACGAATTGACTGACTTGCCTTCTCCGTCTAGTACTCTATGTCAAATCTTAACACTGCTTAAATTGTCGTGCCTCTACATGCAGGCAATACTACGAAGACATGTGGTAGAAATATGTAGCCTCGTAAGTATGTTGATTCGAATGACTATACTTCACAACTGTGCAGTAGGAAAGAGCGCACTACTGCACAGTAAACTCAGATCATTGGCTAATTGGCTTAAGCCTCCAATTTTTAAGCAAGATGTCTTGAGTTCAAACCCCCATTTTTGCCTACTTTTTTCATGAACAACCAGATAGTAGCGTAATCCTTCATACAATAAGTGTGGCTCATAGCCTATTAAACGGACATCTGTAATGAGTTGAGTGGCCTTACTATTACTAGTTAGATATATCGCCAGTGCTGGAGAATAACTTGCCAAATGCCCGATAACACATTTTTTTATCTTAGTATTGGATTTCGTGGGTTACCAACCCATTAGGATTGATGCAGTTTCCAAAGTAAGTGAAATGGTCAACGCATTCTACTATCGTACTCCTCATTCTAAAAGATCATCTTATATTTGACAGGTGTGACAAGCCAAACATACTGATTCTGGTACAAGACATTAGGAACAATTTCCAACTTGTTATTGTCTTCGCGTAACAAGACTATGTCTTCTGCGTACTCCAAGTCAGCTGGGTACCCTTCATACAGTGATCCAACCACTGAAAAGTCGAAGATAGGTAGGATCATATTCATTAACACGTCTGTAACAAAGTTAAACAGTAAACGTGACAGTGGGAATTTTTTTTTGAACACCACTGTTTGTCACTACTTCAAACGATAACTCTTCACTAACTTTTATACGGTTGTGAGTTCAACTGAATATTGAATGCAAACATGAAGAACTTAGCATTTACATCATTCATAAAGAATGAGGTGGCCCTGAGTAGGAGTCATATGCCTACTGAAACACTCCACTCCACCCGCCGATGACTGGGCACCCATTAGCCCTTATACAACGGACCACTGCCTGCTGCATGAATGTGCAATTGGGTGCCCAGCGTATTTTGTTATCTTTTCAGTATTTGCAAATAGTAAATCTGAATAGGTGTATCTTCTTTTTTAGCAAGTTCACTTCATTTCATAACATTTTAAAACTTCACACTTAATCGACAGTAATCAGTTATAAAATGGCATCGCCATCCACAGGACGAATGATCAGTGTGTTCAATGAAATACAACAAATAGTGATGCAAATAGCTGAGCGGTAATATTTGAACTGTAGCAATGAATGATGCCGACTCTGATTTGTAAAAGAAACTACTAGTGTGTCTTAACAACAAGCATTAGCAGATCCAAAGACTCCTCAAGATGAAGGCGTTAATCTATTCTACGTCAAAAAACATTTACCCATGGGAAATGCAAGCAGATTAATCTTGATTCATAAAACAAAATAGCTAACCAGCAAACATAACAAGTTCAGTGATAAGACAGATAACATCTACCTAGCGAATTTGACCGGAAATAATTAGATTAACATGTAATGGGCACCAGAATAACTATAAGTTCTAATCCACAGCCTAGCTTAGGTCCCCAAGATGACGCATTTTTACTTAGAAATGATACGGATGTATGCCACAGTGTACAGAGAAATTCTGTACGTAGAACCATGAAATTTATATTGACCTGCGTAAAGTGGGTTCGAACTCAAAAAACAACTTTATCTCAGTACTTTTTTTCGCACTTCAGTATGGTCAAACGCTATTCTCTTTTTTCATCTTATTCATTTGTTGGGATTTTTCATCTCATCAAAGAGGGTGTTTATCGAATGACAAGAAATGTTTTGAAGTCACACAATTCACGGCTGCTATCCCTTAGTCCGAAGCCTACAATGTCCATCAAACCATAAAATCATAAGACTAGGTGCGTTTCAACCCCTTTTGTAACTCCTCAACTACCATGGACTTCGATAATAAAAACCATATCGATGTCCTTCAACAAAGTGACACAAAAGTAACGAAGGTTCTAACGATTGCACATGCACACGCACACACATAAGACACTCACATGCATAAACTGATCTCATAAAAAAATTTTCAATAGCAATGGAAATCAATAAAATAAATTATTCTAAAAGAGAGGGCATACATATGTGTGTGAAAATAAACAGCAATATAAACTAAAAGCAATGAGTTGATATTCACTGCGTATAACTACGAAACAAGAAAAGATTACCACTTTGAAACTAGATGTGCATATTATATGTATGTGAGGTTTTATTAGGACGTGCGAGACACACACGTTGTGTGAATACAAGGACAAGTGGATGAAGCACGATATTTTGATCCGATCACGTGGTAGCTATGATTTAAGCACAGAGATCACTTGATCATGAATACCTTGCAAGTGAGTTTTCCCACCCATAAATTTCGTGTAGTTTGACTCAATAGTAAAGTGTATCACTAAGTGCCTAAAATCAAATGGCTTTATACCGATACTTACTAGAAAAGTGTCATTATCTCTAGGATCACTGGAATCCAGGGGTATACCATATAATTGTTCCATCCTAGTTTAGTATGACTTAGTAGTTGGCAAACTGAAATTGCTTTAGGATTGTCCAGGAGAAAAGTCTTAATAACTCGTCCAATGTTAGTTCATAATGAAACACATTTTCAAACTGATCAATTCCTCATAGTTTACTCAATTAATAAACCATTTTTTAATCTTGAAAACCGTAACTTGATAGGTCGATCGCGTTAAAAAACATAAGTCACTCATAGATAAAAATACAGGTGATAAGTTTATGTCACTAATGAAATTAGGACTCAATGAAAGTGTGTTCGTAGAAGATAGTGATATCCGAGTTCTTAAATAATCAATAACTCCCACTGTTCAAGAATAACAAAATCATGGTGAGAAAACTATTAAACGATCTCAAACTTTTCTCTATCAAGCTAGTAACTGGTAAGTTCACTACTTTGAATATCAATCATTTCCGAAAACAAACAACGTGGATATTCTGATTGGTGTTAATCTGAGCACTACGAAAAAAACATTGAAGTTCAAACACCACTCGGTGTCATTTTGATGGCACATGTTACTACTATCAAAGAGGTTTAATTAAGTTTGTTTGAATGGCTGTGTTTAGGATACAGTTGCAAGTATGCATATTGTCAGGTAATAAGAATTTTAAACATAAGTCAAATAGCATGACTATTATATGGTGAATAACATACAAATGAGACATCAAGAAACATGCATGTGTTGGAAATGAAACCATGATGAGATTGAAAGTGGATTTGATAGATATACTTGGATTGTTCACTAAGCTTTATATTTACTACTTCTTCAATAATTCAATTCTAAATAGGAAATATGTTATTTCCATCCCAATGCACTTCTCTAAATATATCTAACGAAAGGTTCGCTGATCTTACCTACATATCTTCAGTACCTGAAGACTTTCAAATCAGTTAGCAATTATTCCCGTGATGTAAAACAATGATACCAACAACGCAACTCAGTAGAAATGTAACACGCTACAAGGTTCAATCACCTGTGCACGCACAAACAAATAATCATCTCCTACATCACTTCCGTCAAAGGACTTCGTACTTGATCACTTCCAGCAAAATGCAAAATGGAAATCTCAGGTGAACAATGAGAGTTAGTGGCACAACTCTTACGACAGATAAACTGAAAAACGGACGATAACAGAATCAAAAATTAAGATGAATACAAGCCAAGCCAACTTACTCTTTTAAAGTGAGGACTTGTTTTTTCTTGCCACCCGCCAGCAGCTTGTTGTTGATCTGGAATACCACTGTCTCGTGTAATCCATCGACAGAATCCACATGCCAGAAAGTAGGCCTTTTGTGCTGTAGTCCTACCCGGTTCATCTGGTTTAGCATGGACAACAGCAGTAGCACGTGTAGATAATGTATGCCCACAACTTGGACAGTCAAAACAATTACCACATCGGTGTTTTCTCATCTTTGCTTCAGCACTCGCCATATTTTCAAGACAATTTGGACAATAGTAAGAATCCACCTATACAGAAAATGACAAAAATAAAGCAAACAACTATTAGACACAATAAGCGCTTGAACTAGTGTATGGCTAGCGCTTTAACAAACTTATGGGGTCCGAGTCACATCATCTGCATAGTTTGACGAAAATTCATATAACTACCAATCCTTTACGTCCTATAATGTCCATGTGTTGTTCGCCTACACATAAATTGGTAAAATGGTTAGCGAAAACTTTAATTACTATTCCGAACTGAATTATGTATGTTTTCTTCCAAGGATACTACTCAATATGTTGATTATCCCAGTGATACTAATATCAAAGACAAGATACTGTATTCCTCTGACATCAACTGCTTATTTACTAATGTGCTTCTAATTAAAACCATTGACATTCTTTGTGATCACATATCTTCCAGTAATTTTTCTTTCCCTATCCCTTCAATGTGTTTGAAAGAGCTGCTACTATTGTGTAAAAATAAAGTTCACTTCACATTTGAAGGGAAAAATTTTCGAAAAATAAATGGAGTGGTCACAGGAAGTTTCCTAGGACCATAACTAGCTGATATTTACGTGTCGTATAAGGAAGGCTTGACTGTCGGCCTTGTCAGCAAAGTTATTCTCTATAATAGATATACTGATGACTTAACTGTGATGTGACACGTACGAAGATGAGACGTGCTTGCTAGAAAGACTTAACACCGTATAAAACTATATATGCCTAACATGTCAAGAGTAAGACAGTCGTCTGTCGTACTTGGATATACTTCTGAGTCGTAGGAAAGACGGTTCAATAAAATGGTCGATATACAGGAAACTTAGTTGGACGGGGCAGTATTTAAGTTTCCATAGCTTTTGCTCAACTCAGTACACGCGACCTGTGGTAATGCAGCTATGCAAAAGAATCTAGCGCATCTGTACGAAAAACTGAATGGATGATGATATCAAAATACTCACTGGAGCACTAATGGAAAATGGATATCCACTGAAGTTCATTAACCATAGCAAAGTTCAACCCGCGTTGAAACTTATTCTGTACTCTGTTCCCAAGAAATGCGTTCATATCGCTTTACCATATGGAGGAGAATCTTACAGCGTAATTTTAAAACGAAAACTAAGGTCTGCCATTGGCAAAACATACGATGCAACTAGGCTTATAGTAGTTGAGAAAACCAAACACATGCTGCAACACACATCTCAACACTATATAAACAACTGCGTCACATCTCACTGAGTTTATCAATTTATATTTATGAGTGGACGCAGATACATGGGGAGGATTAATCAAGATATGCACTTCAGCGTGGAGTAGCATGTACCAAAATGGATACAAAAGCAGCTAAATTCACAAACATCGATAAGCCCGTGTGGCAAACAAACATATTATTGATAAAGTTAACAGGATTGATAGTAAAACAGCCTATACGAACTCAAAAGTTCACATATCATACATAGGGTCATGTAGACTGACACAGTAATTAAGGATTACTTACCACTACGATTATTATTATAATTAAACGTGGAAAAAAAAGTCAAAATGCACTTTACTTGTAGTGAAATGAAGTGGACAGATTTGTTCCCTAGTAAGGCGTTACACTAAAAAATTACTAAACACTCATAAATATCATGTTGCCTAAACAAACAGTAATCAGTGACGACAGAGTTCGGTGTATATTTAGTTAATCAATATACGTCCTCAGCAGTACTCATTAATTTCCCAACTACAATTTCCTTAGAAACTATCAGCTTTCCTTGCCTTTATTGTATTATGATTACAATCTTACAGAACACATATTTGCCTTGCCTTCTCTCGATTGTACTCATCTATTGGCACAACATCTATATTTCGATATTTCTGCCGGTAAGATATATTAACTATCATGCAGTATCCACAACCTTATTTGTATACAAATGAAGACACTAAGCGGTTAAATAATTGGTATATCACACAAAACTAGTAGCCTGTTCCATTTAAACAAAACACATTTCACCATAGTTTACTTTGCACAGATTGTAAGCTCTAACAGTTTTTAGGTTGTTTTTATGATAACCTCATGTGGATGTAGATCATCGATTACCGACTGCAAGATATAGAATATGCAACATTATCTTGTCTAAACAATCCAGTGAATACTTTAAACAGAAATATGGCTACTAGACGTTGGTCAAAAAGAAACAGCTCGCCGAAGATATTAACTTCCGTTTGTTGAGTCGTTGTTGTAAGTGTCGATGTCTGCTAGCAGGATATTTTGGATAAACAAAGTTTAATCCGTTTCTTGTCAAACTAAGTTTCTTTCCTGATTGTAGCTAGCAGTGGAATTCAAAATGCGTGTTTCAGACCATTTGGGACTCGTCAGCTGGGTGTACCTGCACCCCAGTGCAGTCTGTTGTTTCCACTGAGATATGAACCGTGTACTCATCGCTTCAAACGCCAAAGCGTTATCCTCTAGGCTATCGAGGCACAATAGCCACCTTTTGCACAACAGGCATTAGTTATGATAATTTTTTGATACTTGTAATTCACCGCTGTTGTTCTAAATTAGATTTGTCAATTTGATTTATAACACACAGTGTGATACAGTATTATTTACTTGATGACGTTTCGAGCATAAATTAACATTGCTCGTAATCATATGTGAAATCACACCCCTCTCGATATCTGATTTTTATAGTCCTGTCACCTAATATGATATGTTTTTATTGGTAGTAAAATTCTCCATATCTCTGGCAAACATGTTGCCTCATTTCTATTACATGTGTTGGATGTTAATTCGATGTACAAAGATTCAGTTATCAGTCTCTCTAAACCTAGTTATACTGGACTTCGATACAGTGGTTTCATTCCACTCTATTATGTGATTGTGTGTTAATGCATACATTGCAATAGTCGGGTTTTTCTCTAGATTATTGATCTTATTCGGGCCTGCCGTTCTATATTTAGCTAGATTCCTATGTTCCACTATTCTAACTGATTCCGACCGGCTAGTTTGACCTATGTGCTTGACCTCACAATCACTACACGAAATTTGATAGGTTAGATTGTTTTGCTTAATTAATTCTATTGGATCCTTAAGCCAGCCGACAAAGTTTATCTCTGAGTGAGTTTGTAGGTTTAAATGCTACCCTAATTCCAGATTTGTTGAGAATCCTACGTAAAGTTTCCGATGTACCTTCCTTATAGGGTAACACAACGGAGGTTATGAACTCCTTTCTATTTGTGTTGTCGTTATTATTTGTACTCGTGTTACTGTTATTATTTCTTTTCTTGTGTGCTCGTGTGAGATTTGTAATAAACTGTTGTTGTTCGCGCTGTTTGAAAAGGGGAGTGACTTTTCACGTTCAGCTAGATTCTTGGCATTTTTTGTGCTTACACATCAAAGGCTGTTGTAATTTTGCTCTAATCAGAATATTATTCGATTAAAGTGAGAGGAACTTTTACGGGGTGAATTTCTATAGTTTCTGCTACATGGTGAGCCAAAAGTGTCGTAAAAATGCTTGTGGTAGAGCCGGGTGCCCCTTTACAGTGGCCTCTGATATGCAGTGTAGGGAATGCAAGGGTTGGTTCCTAGATAACTGTACAAGCCCCATGCCTTCAGCATATAAGAGGAACAACAACGGAGGAAGTGTCTGGGTTTGTCTGTTGTGCTGCTCGGATATTCGCACTCTGGTAGAAGAAGCAAAAACACTTCTAAATACGATAACTAAGAAACTGCCTTCGAAAGTCAAAGTAGATAACTGTGACAGTGATAACGACACAGCATCTATCGACACACAGATTGCTGTGCGAAATTTTAAGAACGTCGCACGACGAGTTGTAAGCCGGTCGCGTAGACTACCCACTAGGTTTGCTGACAGCGACTTAGAAAAAACTACACCAAGCAGAGTCAAGCGAGTGTCTTCTGGTTCTTGCATCCCCAGAGCTGCCAGACCCAGTCTGAAAACTGCTGACCGTAAGACTAGGTCTACTTTAGATGAAAGAAACAAGAGTGAAGCGCTCTCAGTGTCAACGACGGAACCATGCATGCCGCAGGTCATACCCAGTTTGGCGACCCAATCATTGACAAGAACTAAACATAATGGGATGCAAGTTCGTTCTGAAGTTCTCAGCGTCACTGGTCACAGGTCACTGGACTAGGCTTTAGTAAACCTTGCATACCCGACTCTGAGAAATGGCAAGTAACTAGGTCTAAACGGGATGCTAAGAAGCCAATAACGGTCATCGAACCAGCTATCATAACTCCACAGAGCAAAGACAAAGTAGAGATCCTTGACAGGTCCGTAATCTTCCACAGAGTAGAAGAAAGTCGACACCCAGAAACATGTAAACGTTTCGAACATGACCTTGGCAAGGTACAAAGTTTGATAAACCAGCTTTTACCAGAAAACATGCCAGGAGTCACCCTACTCAAGATATATAGAGTAGGCAAACAGGAGACAGTCATTATTGAAAATAAGTTTCGGCTACTTAAAGTCATGTTCAAGTCAGCAGATGAGAGGGATCAGATTCTGAAGAATGCTCACAGACTTCAAGGATCTATAGTGTTTGTGCGAAAGGACCTGGCTCTTGCTGACGGAATCAAAAAAACAAGAAGCAGAAGCAGGACTAAAATCCAGATTAGCAGCTGGAGAGCAAGATCTGAAAGTAGTGGGTTTTTGTGTAGTGAGGTTTCGGCAACAAATGATGCCGAAACCTCTATAGATAGGACGGAAACTCATTTAAGTAGTTTTGTTGTCTTGTACACAAATGCACGTAGTTTTTTAAACAAGTGGACTGAGCTTAGTAATGCGATACATAAACAACGAAAGCCCTGACATCATTGCTACCTCAGAAACGTGGCTCTTTTCTTCGGTCAGTCACTGTTAAACATACTTCTCTCTCCCTCTCCCCTCTCTCTCTCTCTCCCTCTTTAGAAGTGACAGGTTAGCACGCAAAGGTGGTGGTGTCATCCTTTACGTTAAGAATACCTTAACCGTAAAAACCATAGAAACAGTTACACATGAAAGTGGGGAATGTGAAATGCTGCGCTGCCGACTAAAATGCAAGCGACAAGACGTTAACGTAATCATAATATATCGAAGCCCTGAGTGTGAGGCAGCAGACTTCTTCCTGAATAAGATGACCCTCTGGAGAGATAAATGCTGATGTCTAGTTGTAGGAGACTTCAACGCACCATCAGCTGACTGCGATAGACTAACAACAAAAGCATCACTTAATTCGTTTGATCACAGGTTAGTGGAAACATCAATTTCCTTAGCCCTCATACAGCACATTAGGGCACCAACCAGATATGGTCATCAGCATGCTCTATCAGTTCTAGACGATGTATGCTCCATCCGGCACCTAGCGCCCCTCGGTAAAAGTCATCACGCTGTGATCATCTTCAGATTCACAGCAGACGTCTTGTACCAGGCCGATGCCCCAGCTAGACCCAATATATAGAAAGCGAATATGGAAGCTATTAACCTGGCAGCCTCTTCGGAGGACTGGACAGTTAATCCAGAAGCCTCAGCTGAAGGTGCGTAGTGCTCCTTCAAACAGTTATATGCACGAGTGACCCAACTGTTCATTCCGTGGACTGTCCGTAGGGGACGGGAACATTTTCCTCAGTGGATAAACCACGGAATCCGAATCTGGCTACGACGTAAGAAAACGTGTTGGAGTCTTGGCACCCACCTCGGTACACCCAAAATGGCGACGCATTACAAAGAAACCCGAAATAAATGTATCGCTGATATCCGCCGGTCTCAAATATGCTTTGAAACACGTCTTGCCCAGGCTGCACTGCAACATCCAAAGAGGTTATCTTCCTATATGAACTATAGAAATAAGATGTGTCGTGGTATACCCACCCTAACCAAAGGGACCGAAAGTAATTGTCTGGTGGAGGACGATAGGGAAAAAGTAGAGGCCATGGCTGGATATTTTGCTGAGATCTTCACACAGGAATCCTCTTAGACACTTATCCAACAGTAGAAGCATAGATATCCAACAGAATAAACTCTTTGGATTTCGATCGCAATGATGTATTTCGGATACTAAGTGATCTCGACATGGAAAAATCAATGGGACCGGATGAACAGCACCCAAAGCTGCTCAGAGAGTCTGAACTCTACGTAGCCAGTCCATTGACTACTATTTTTAGACTCTCAGTGAAGGCACACTCCCCTATGACTGGAAGGATGTCATAGTAACACCCATCTAGGCAGCTCCCATCAAATTACAGACCGATAAGTTTGACTAGTACTGCAGTAAAAATCCTAGAAACGGTAATCAAGAAAGCCATCCCAGTCCACCTTAAGAGCAACACTATATTGTCTCGTTCGCAGCATGGTTTTCATATAAATTTCTCTTGCCTGACGAACCTCCTTACAGTCAGAGAAAGCTGGGATAAGTCTAAAGATGATACGATACCTGTAGATATTATTTCCGCAGGCTGTAGTAAGGCGTTCGACAAAGTACCTCATTCCAGGTTGCTCGAGAAACTGGAAAGTTTTGAAATTACTGCCAGTCTACTCGCATGGATAAGAGACTTTCTTGTTGGTAGGAGACAAAAAGTAACCTTCAACTCTCAACTCTCCACTTGAAAGTAGGTAGAGAGTGGAGTGCCTCAAGGCGCAGTCCTCGGCCCCCTACCATTTTTCCTACACATAAATGAGCTGCCAAATATCACGAAATCCCCTATGGTTCTCTACGCTGATTATGTAAAAATCTGGAGGGAAATTAGGAACGATGGGGATATACGTGCACTTCAGGCAGACTTGAACAGCTTGTTAACCTGGTCACAGAAGTGGTTGATGCTTATCAATGCAGATAAATGTGTGAGCATGCACTTGGGACACACACGCACACACAACACCTGGGATATTGATGGGACTCCTCCACCGTCGGTACTGACCCACAATGACCTAGGAGTCACAGTAAGTTATGACTTGAAAACCACGGCTCACTGTCGATTGGCAGTGGCTTGGGAGTTTAGGACTCTCTGGGTATTATGTAGAATGTTTACGAAAATAAGTGGCGACATGTTCACCATCTTATACACATCCTTAGTTAGGTCTAAATTAGAAAACTGTACACAGGCGGCTATTCCTTGTCCGAAGGGTGATCCCGACCTTCTAGAAAGAGTTCAGACGGCAGCCACTCGTATGATCCCTGCGATGGCTTGCCTCACTTATGAAGACCGACCTAAGGAGCTGAACCTCTTCACTTTGTTTTATCACCGACAGAGAGGAGACCTAATCATGCTATACAGGATTCTAAGAAATGACTTCGGACCTGATCTATCTTCTCTTTTCCTTCCCACTAGGTCGGAACACCTCAAAGGACATAGTAGGAGACTACAAAAGCAAAGAACGAACACAGTCTCCGTAGAGTACTGGTTCTCGCGTCGAGTACTTAACCCCTGGAACTGACTCCCAGAAGAAGTGGTGTCTGCATCATCAATTGACTCGTTCAGAAGGGGATTGGACAAGCGCAGAAATCTACTGAAAAAGGATTAATATAGGCTCCCAGCCTCCTATCCTCAAACAACAAATCTGAATGTGGATAACTATTAACTGCTAGTGCTTCTTTTATGTACTTCAGTTCCTTGCACTGACTAGCCAGTTTTCTAGGTCTATCATTTAGACATTTGATTAGACCTGCCTTAAATGACATTGAATGAGATGACTTGAAGTCTAGGTACCTGTTAGAATGTGTCGGTTTCCTGTAGACGGTAGTATCCCAACCACCGTCAATCTTTCGTTTTATCCTGAGATCCAACATAGGTAATTCTCCTTGTTCATTTTCTACCTCGTAAATGAACAGGATTGTCCCTACCACTGAATTTATGTGTGAGGAAATTGTCGATATGTTCCAATCTCAACACAGTAAATGTGTTATCCACAAATCGCCACCATATCTTAGGTGCAGAACTAAACGTCTGTAGAGCCATGTTTTCCCAACTACCCATAAAAATATCTGCCATGATCAGGGATATTGGCGATCCCATTGCTACTCCTTCTGTTTGTCGATATATTTTGTCCTGAAACTTGAAGACTGTGGAAGTCAGGTCTCCGCTGTTCTACTGGGTCAAATTGATCGACCTCGAGGCATCCGCATAGGAGCTCATATGCTAAAAAAGGTTGATCAATTCGATCCAGTATGACAACGGAGAATTACAAGTATCAGCAAATAATAATAAATTCCTATCCGTTCATATACTTTTACAGACATTAGAAGTTACCAGAAACATATGCTGTTACTTACACAGATTGGGGATAATCTGCATAGCTCAAACCAACAGTTGGAGACTTCATGGACCACTATTACATCTTGATTTGATAACTCAGCTTTCTAAAAACCAAATCCTACAACAGTTAAAATAGCGTGTTAAGGTGTGCATAACACATATCCTAAACACCCTACTGATGAAATTTCATAACTCTAACAACTGATTTACCTCTTTTAAGTGATAGGTTTTCTCCTAAGTTTCATATCACTTATACCGTGGACTTATTATACAAGCAGCTGTGGTCTAGTGCATGTGGCCTTTACGAATCGACCTTTAACAACTGTCTTAAACCCACATACACGGCCAGATCTTCGAAAAGCAATTCCATACCTTGCTAGAAAATTATACGTAACATTTCACACTTTTACCAAATTATACCTACGATGTCTAATTACTATATATATAACTGGAGTCAATGAGATTTTATTTTACAGGAATAACGATCAGACAGGATACACCACTGGTAATAAAACCACTTTAGCCAAATAAATTCAAGGTTTACGATCAAACACACAGTATATTGCACAGAAAAGCAAGATACAGTACAGTCAACTACTCAACAGCAAAAATACCTACCTCATGTGAAACACAGTCAGGACACCGAAGGGAATAACAATGCCGACAAAAATATAACGTGCATAAAGGGCTCGTCCGCTTGCATGCACACAATAAATTGCACTTTTCAAGATCCAAGTAAGTTGCCATGTTTCACGATGCTAAGTGGGATAATTTAAACTGGTTAGTGCAGCAGAAATCTAGATCAGAAAGCAGACTACCTAAAAAGGGAAACAGACAGCAGCCTAACGACAACTGGTCAATAAACTAGGTAAATAAACATCGATTGACTAGATATCATCTTATTAAACCACAGCTAGACTAAAAATTGACGCAGAATCTAGAGCGAAAGTAAATAACTTAAAGTTGCCACACTAAACAGCAGCTTGCAGAGAAATGGATAAGGAAGGTGATATTAAGGTTAAAAAACTGCAAGCTTTGGGAAAATATAAATAGCTGAAGGTCAATGAAGATATTCAAAGGTGATAAGTAGGGTAAACATCTGCGCCACTGTAACCTATTTTGAACCATATCATCAAGAGTCTCCAATCAGTGATATCCGCCGTCTCCAGGACCGAACACCATGCAGCCGATACTTGCATGGCTTAGACTAACAGTGAAAGACTTCACGTGCATGGGCTACTTCTCAGTCTGGCCATTCTGAGCCTACTTTCAACTCTATCCCACATTGGTTACCATCACATGCCGAGATAGACGGTGGTCCCGTATGCGCTACACATATTTAAGCCACCTCAACCGGTGAAGATATACAACTTCATCCACTGATTTGCCTCCCTTGCCTAGAACGCTTTGCTTGATCTCGACATTTTTAACATGGTAATTCCCACATACGTGAGCAATGCCGCGAATAAAACTGTGTTCTGAAGCCTGTCATCTCTTCATCTTTTCTACTTTCGATAGTCATGTCAGACAGCCGTATGACTGATATCGAACTGTAATTCAAGTGATATAAATAAGAAAATAAAACGTGGTAATAGCTAAACCAAAAAGAAGGACAACAGGACGTATTATATGATACGCCGTTTAATCACTGGAAATAAAAATACGCATAAACATAGTACTTTCACACAAGACTTGTGCGACGAGTATTGCTACGAACATACTATTATTACTGATTTACAACACAAACTCGATGCCACATGATTTCCAAAAAACGCCATTAAAATTCACGCAACTCAACTTGGTGCATGTCTAAGAACGACACTTACTGCTTAAGGGCTTACAATGATATGCATAACTATAAACGTTCAAAATATCGAAGTAGAACAAGGCCACCTACTTTCAATCACCATACAAATAACAAATACTTTTCATGCTATGCCCTTTATCCCCTGACCTAACGTGATTCATTCACTTAGCAAACCTAACTGTTAGGCTTGACCCTAGGATTAAAGTTAAAATCCAGGTTAGGGTTATGTTATAATGAGTTTAACTTCGTGGCATTTAGACGAGTTGAAAAAATGACTACATTTTCGTGAACAAGAAAACTCAGTGAGCTGTCGCAAGAGCTGAAAAACAACACACAATAGACAGTGAATCATATATCATGGGAGCTATGAATTTTGTGAATTTGTTAGAGAATCTAAACAACTCAAAGAAGCTCCAATCAAGTGTTAAATAAACGTTAGGGATGTAAATGAAATCATATTTATCGAAACTTGTGGGACGGTACTTTAGTGATAATGTTATTAAAATAGATGAAACAGACTTAATTAGATGAGCGCCACTGAGTATTGATAAAGGTAGCTGCAGCTGCAGCCAAGCTTTTGTTACTACACCAGTATTAAGATAAACATTAGAATGTACAGTAGATTATAGATACTCCACTTTGTCACACAAATACGTTTATGTATACAGTCTCACGGCAAAGCACTTTTATTTCATTTATTATGATGTATCTTGACTGAGCATTATCTTGTGTGGTGTCAACTTAAATTACTATTTAGGTACACTGCTTATGGTATTACATACTTTGATTTAAATACTATCTGGTCACCATGCAAATTATTTGCGTTTACACGAACTGTGTGCTATCCTTGATGTCAAGAGAGAAGGATATCTGATCACAGTAATCTGTCGACGGATACTATCTTGTGGCACGTGTACAAGAAGAAATACTAAAAGATCAATTAAGGAAAGCTTCATACGATGGGTGATATGGGCTGTTCTAAAGTGCTAATTCATTCAAAAATTGCAGCACGCTTTTATGAATGTAAATGTGTTACAAAGACTCCCTTCTGGAGACTAAGAAGCAGCTCCCGGTATTACCTAAGTCAAAAGCGCCCGCATCAAAAAATGTTATACAAAAAGCCTAGTACAATAGTTCTTCACTTGTGATGTTTTAACCGACTTAAAGAGAGTAACAACACCGAACACTTTTATGCTCCCACTACAGATTCTCAATTGGTATACGCACCAGTTCAGCAGCTAAAAGTGAATTTACTGTAGGATGCAAGGTATTTTTCTTTCATTTACTCCACAGTTTACGTCTTATTCAGAAGTCGAATTGTACTTGATAATTTCTCTTCTATATTTCACATAGCAAATGCTTCCCAGTCGAAAAAATACAGGGAATTAATCTTTTCAGACTCGAATCTTTGTAGATGAAAACTGAAAACAACAATAATTCATTACACAAATTAACAAGTAGTTATACCTTAGGATTCTCGGATATGCAGATGGTTACGTTCTGACTGGATGCCGGTCAATACTCATCCATGTGCTGTTCGACTAAATGGATCTGTAAGAACTGGAAAGGATCGTGAGACAAACCGATGCCTATTCATAATCTCCGACTACGCACCCACCAACTGCACTTCGCATGAAGCAAAGAATGAGTTCTATTAGACGCTATCAATTTTGCTACAGAAAGCAAAACATTCAGACATAGTCAGAGTAGCAGGCAACTTCAATGTTCAAGTACGAAAGTTGAACAAGTCGGAAGGGCATCTGTGGGATTCCTTGCCAAGGAACTAACAACAGTAATCATCTCTAGTAATCTCGTTCTGATTAACACTAGTTTCTGGTTAGTACTAGCTTCAAACATAATGAGAGACACCATCTCACACGGTGTCCATCGACACTAAACCGACGATAGACACATGGGTTATATTGCTATAAGCCATGATTGAAGAGGATCAGTGGAGAATTACCGCTCTTTCTGCAGTACCTGTATTGACTCGGATCACGTGTTGTCACTGTCCCGTGTACGTCTGCGCCTTACTGGTCGCAGGAGACAGGAAGCAGTTAATCCTGTATGTGTTCGATTAGAAGGTTAGGTCAAGTGTGTGTTTAGGGGATAGATGGTCAGGCATATATCTGAACGTGACAGCAATGCTCATTCCAAAGAAACTTGGCATCAAACTAGGTCTGCTGTAAAGACAATCGGTAACCTATCGATTGGTGCGAGAAAACTGATTCCAGCTGGCTTCAACGTAAATTGGTCAAGTCACCCCAATGATCTGGAGCAGGTGTGGATGGCAAAGACGAAAGAGATAATGGAAGCCTCGGAGTTGGGTAAAACTCAGCAACTGTTTAGGCCTTCTTAGGAATACCAGCAAAAAGAAGACGACAGTGAGTGAAACCACTACTGAGAAGGATGGTATCCTAATGACCTTCCTGGCTAGAAACATTGGGTAGGACGCTTTGAAGCACAGTTCAACTGGTCCATAGTAATGCTCCAGTTGCGCAACATCCAGCCCAAGACTGAATGGGATGTAGATATCAGTCCTTCAACTCTTCTTGAAGTTGGGAAGGTTGTTTCGAACATGAAACGATGCAAAACAGAATGGCCAGATTGTTTGTCAACGGACGCTTTTAAGAATGAACGTAGGAAATAACAGCAAACTAATGGAGATACTAAGTAATGTATTGGAATCAGTTCCGTCAGACGTCTACTTCCCTGGTCATTCTAGTCAGTAGGAAGGGAGAGAAGTCTTCTTGATGCAAACAAGACGGAGTCAGTTTGATTAGCACCGTGTGAAGGCCCTTGGGTGCATATTTATGATACATACTCATCAAGTAGAGTCACACTAGAAATTACGGTTTTCACCCTCAGGTTACTACGTTTAATTACCTTCCACTTCAGTACTTCTCCAGAAAAATGTAGAAGATAAGCTGGAACGTAATGCTCAGATGCATCCTGAATGTTCAGTCTTCCGAGTCCCTATGCATAATAATTTTTCCATTATCTTGGATCTACCAGCAATATCGAGAAACTTTAATGTGCTTGAGGAAGTAATTGACTGTGGGCTAATCACTGCTCTGTCGAAACCCAAAAGACTGAGACTACGTTGTATGCAATCGCCAGAATGAGAAAAAAATGGATTGTATAACAACTTAGCGGTGATTATCAAGTTAAAGGTCATCAATCAACCTTTTGCTTCCTGAAGCCCCAAGAGCTGAGATTAGAAAACTAATCATTTACATGGTTTCCCAATGAAGTTCCAATCAAAAATGCTAAACCAAAACAAGCCTTATACGTTTAATCCCAGCTTTCCAAATTAGACTTCTAGTCCTCATATAGCTGTCTTAGTTACCAGTGCCTAGCCACTGACTTCCGGTTAGGGAACTTAGCTCCCCGATTACCAAGGTAGCTCTAATTGCGTTAGCGGAAAAGAAAGGATTTCTATAGCTTTCGCTTAAGCCAGACCAATCTTTTGATTAGTTACTTGCGCAGCATGAATCTTTTACTTTGTTAAGCGCATATGATACGTTTAAAAATATTCATATGGTTTCAAAAACCGAACTTCAGATAACACGGTAACGTACTGATACAATTATACATAGCTAAGAGAAGACCGCGACCTCGCTTAGGTAACTAGTTCACTAGTTACTAGCCGGTCCTAACCCCGGATAAAGAGGGAAGGTTGGGCATAAGGCTAGCAACCTTACGCCGTAAAACCAATCCAACCACTGAAGAAACTTCAAAGCACAAGGAAAATATAAAAAATAAAAATAAACTTATTCTTCACTGGAATCGGAGAGACGAAATGATTTGGATTTGATTTCACCAGACACCAGGACACACTACATTAAAAATCAGACCGACTTCATCTCAATGTGAAGAGAGTGGAGACGCAGTCTACTCGACACAAGATCAAAAAGGGGAGTGGATGTAGGTGCAGACCATTGTCTAGTGCAAGGAACCTACATTCAAAAGCAAGTTGAAAGCCTTAACAGAAGTTGGTGATAGACTGCAGTTCACGTTCACCATTAAGAACAGAAACTGAACTGAAGGACAAAACTACAAAGGACATCTTCACGTCAGTCATCAGGACAAAATGGGATACACTAAGAAGCATCCCTGAAGGAACCTGAGTGGAAGAACACGAACTCTTTGAGAGAGAAGAGCAAAGAAACCTACATAACTGGATCAAGAAGGAAGAAAAAAGAAGACAATGAATGGATCTCGACGGACACATGGAAGCTGATAAAAGAGGGACGAAGATGGTGATAAGAAGATAAACCAGTGCAGTGCAGTGCAGAGATAAACAACGAAAAGAGGAACTGAACACAACCTATAAAACACCACAATGGACAAAGAAGTGAAGAAGAGTGCACGCAAAGACAAAAGACACTTCCATGACACATTGGCAAGTGAATCAGTACGGGCTGCTGGTAGGAGAGACCTGACAACACTGTGTCAAATAACCAAAATACTATCTGGGATGAGATCAACGCAGATGAAACCAAAGAAAGATAGTGAAGGAAATCTAATTACCAAAGAAAAGAAACAAAGGAAACGATGGGCTGACCAGTTCAAAAAACTCTTGAATCAACCACCACAACCGCCTGCATCTTGTCCATAAATACCATCAGCAGCCCAGCCACATAACTATCAGTGAACACAAGCCCTCTGACAAAAGCAAACGTCATAAATGCTATAAAGCTGCTGAAATCCGGGAGAGCAACAGGATCAGATGGAATCCTACCGGAAGCCCTGAAGACAGACGCAGAGACAACAGCGGACATACTCACACCATTGTTGCAGAAGGTTTGGAAGGAAAGAAAGATACCTGCAGATTGGAAGAAGGGCTACCTGGTCAAAATCCCAAAGAAGAGAGACATAAGTCTCTGCAAGAACTGGCGAGGAATCATGCTTCTGTCCACTCCAAGCAAAATATTATGTCGCATCATCCTGGAGAGACTAAACAATGAGCTGAATTCAAGATTACGACCGGAACAGGCTGGATTCAGCAACAGCAAATCATGTGCGGACCGAATTGCAACGCTAAGCATCATCAGAGAACAGAGCGTAGAATTGCAGTCAACTCTCTACCTGAAATTATCGACTTTGAAAAAGCCTTCGACGGCGTCGACCGAGCAGTAATTTGGCAGGCAACTGCTTCAACACTACAGAGTACCACAAATCTTTATTGACCTCATTCAACAGCTGTATGGCGACGCCATACGCCGCGTGATCCACAATGGAAAGCTCAGTGACGCCTTTAAAGTGAAGACAGAAGTAAGATAAGGTTGCCACCCACTATCACCGATGATCCTCTTGATTGTGGTCGACTGGACTCAACTGGATCATGCAACAAACTGTGACGAGCGAGAAGATGGGCATAAGCTGTTTGACCGGTGAAAATACCCTAAAAGATTTGGATTTCACCGATGACTTGTGTCTAATGTCACACAAGCTCGAAGATCTACAGGCAAAAACCAACAAGTTGACAGAAGAGGAAAGGCAGTGAAGACGGGACTTCCTTCAGGTGAACGTAGAGAAGACAGAGGTGATGATACCCAATCAACAAGCAATAATCACCATCAACGGGAGAAACCTAAAGGAAGTAGTCTCTTTCACTTGCCTAGGCAGTATCGTTTCAACCACAGGTGGCACAGATGAAGACGTCAAATTCAGGATCGGAAAAGCAAGACAGACCTTCATCAACCTGAAATCAGTGTGAAGATCTACTGCACTCAGAACAAAGAACAAGTTCCGGATTTTCAACACTAATTCAGTCAAGTCAGTGCTTCTATACAGTTCAGAAACTTGGCACGTTACGAAAAGCATTTCCAACAAACTGCAGACACATATGAACAGCTGCTGCCTACACCCACTTGATACTGAAGACCAGATGGCCAGAAATAATAGACAACAGGAAACTCTGGGAATGAACCAACCAAGAACCTATCACTCAACAAATATGCAGAAAAAGTGCAGATGGGTTGTATTGCATTGGATATACACTGAGAAGGCCGACTGGGGACATCACGCGCCAGGCCAGGGCGTCAAGTGGGACCCAGAGCGGAAACGACGAGTTAGGCGTCCAAGGTGAGGGTGACATGTAGGAGATCATGTGAGGAAGAAATGAAAGTTTGTGGGCGGTCGTGGCGCCAGGTTGAAAAGGTTGCAGAGAACAGAGTGCAGTGGAGACGTGCTATTGAAGCCCGATGTTCCACTAGGAACTCAAGGGACAAATAATAACAATAATAAAAGAGCGCACTTAGTCTTATGAAAGACTAGATAAATGTCACACTATTTGGCTCAAACCATGCATTAATTCGGGAAAAATTAAGATTATTGGCAGCGAATGTTCTTAATTTTTTTTCTGCAAGCCTTACCAAGAATTTTCTTGTGACTATCGATTTGCAACTAACCACTTGATTTCGATTAGCCACTCAAGTGTCTTGGATGTAGGTAACAAATACGTCACAGCAGAGAACCGACCATGCATCAGTATTCCCTATATCTTTTAGAACCTTTGCCACTTCTGACCTTGAGCTCCCGATCTAGTGTAACGACCAGTTGTAGATAAGTTTTCGTCTACCCGGTAGATAGGTACGTCGTTGCAGGGTTAAACAATAAGAAGTCAAAAGTTCTATATGTTCTACTTCCGTGGTATTTGAAGCTGATTTTGTGTATGAAGATTCCAAAACATAATCCAATTTTGACAGCGCGAGCATAGAAAACTGATAGTTTTTGATCTCTCGCGTCTAATTCTTAGGGCTTGGTTCAAGTTTTTCGGTTCGCTCCTGCAGTGGACGAGGAGATCCCTATCGCCTTCTTGCTTTTAGCCTCAATGGATGTTTTTTGGATTAGTAAGTTATAATTTGTAGCGATTGGGGAGCTACGGGTTGCTGGGAAGGTTAGAGAACTGTCGAGACTCTTGTCTGTGTAGGCACCTGGAAGAGAATAGTAGGGTGGTGGTAAAGAATGAAGGAGAAAAAGAGGGGGTAGGGAAGACAAATAAAAGAGAGAGAAAAGTATGAGGAAGCTGCCCGAATGGTAAAAAAAGATAGCTTAGGTCTATTTCCTGGAAAAGAATTAGTAGGTAAAGCGGGTGTATTAGGGGAGCGAGATAGTGGGTGGTAGGCAGGAAGGAGGTGGAGGGGGGCTAATGGGGTTGGTGACTGCCTGAGTACGTCCGTGGTAGACCATGCGAGGTGACATAATTGTCTAACCGTCTCTTGAACGAGTCGACTGAAGGGCTATAACGATATGTCGCGGTAGGGCGTTCCATAAAGCGCATACTCTCAGGGAGAAAAATTAGGCCCGAGTACGGTCTTGTCTCTCTGGTGTGCTATCTTAATGGGGTTCCATTTTGAAGACCGCTGTGTTGCAGACAAAATTTATTCGTTTGCGTGGTTTGCCTGATGGGTGACCTTGTAGGCCATAATAAGGTCACCCCTCTTCCTACGACAACCCAAGGCGGATAGATTTGGGTGTTCAAGTCTTTCGGGATATGTCCTTCCCTTTAGCTCCACAACTGGGTTTGCTGCTAGTCCTTGTATTCTTTCAAGGAGATTAGAGTCTCTCTTGAGTGCTGGGGTGGAAGGGCACCGTATTGAAGACTTCTTGATGAGGCCGCAAGTAGGATTTGAAAACGATAAGGAGGAGTTTGGAGGTGAGGGCACCAAGCTGCCAATGCAAAAAGCGCAGAATGGCGTTCGCTCTGGTTGTCATACCTTTGTAGTTGGAGATGCTGTTCAAGGTGCTACAGAAGTTGGGCCCCAAATCTTTCTCCATGGACACTCTGATGATAGCACAGTTGCTCAAAATGTTCTGGAAGCCGGTCACACTTGCTTCATAGTTACTGATATGCAGTACTTTGCACTTTTCTAAGTTGAAGCTTGAGCCATTTTCCGACTACCAGGGTTCGAGTTACTGCAAGCCCCTTTGCAGTGCTGTACAATCGGCTTCTTTGTTTACCACCCTCCAAGTTTTAACGTCGTCGGCGGATAGGAGAATGGGTGAGGATATTTTGTGTGGCAGATCAGTGACAAACAGGAGGAACAGAGGAGGTTCTGGTATTGCTGCTTGGGATACTCCACTGCGACCTTATTCTGTTCACTTTGGTGCAGGAATGCCTCCCTTCCGGGTAGTCCTCTAACCAAGAATGTAGAGGTTAAAGTATACCAACTGACATGGTCTTGTGAAGCAGGACTATGGGCCGGACACCGCCAAATGCCTCGGCTGGGTCGAGAGCAACAACATGTACCGGTTCTCTGTCGTCACAGCCTAATGTCCAGTCGCCCCAGGCGGTTAGTAAGTTGGCGGCCCATGAGAGACTACTCCGAAATACACGCTGAGCGGTATGGACAGTGTTTTCCCTATTAAGGAGTTCCCAGATCGTGTCAGCTACCAGGCTTTCCAACACTTTCGACACAAAGGGTAGTAGAGTAATTGCCAGGGCTTTTCCTGCCTCCTCCCCTGAATATGGGTGACGTTCTTTAGGGAGTTTGCACGACTCTCTTGAGTGCTTGAAGAGGTTGAAGACTGGTTATGCAAGCACCTCGACGCAGTGTTTTAGGATCACCGGTTTTAGGTTATCACAGCCAGGGGATTTGTCTGGACGCTACCTAGATAGTTCCTCTAATACTTTTCTCTGTAATTTGGATGTGGCAGAGGTACTCATTATTTATGACCTGGTTGGTGTCGTAACGAGTTGATGTGGATTTGGTGTCAGTACTAAGTTGGGCTTGGAAGTGTGAGCTCAAAAGCTTGGCAATCTTTAGGCTGCTTGGTGCACTCCCATGATAAGATTCACTCCCTTGCTGGTTGACTTCCCTCTCGATATGAGGCGTCACAGGTTTTTGGGATTGTCCGTAACCTCCTCACCAGGTTTGTTTGATAGGAGAATCTGTCGCTACTAACTTTAATGCTGCAGCGGTTGCGAATCAAAAAGTCAGACCCTCTGTGTGATGGACACCACTCGAACCAAACCCTGCTCTTGCACAGGATAAGCCTCTCTGTCCCACGCCTTAGCCACGAGGTTTTCACTGACAGTCTACGCGTTACCTCTGGTACGTTTTGACCGACGGCCCCAGCGATTACTTTCCTCACCCGTAACCAGTGTTCATCCATCGTGAGATGGGTCCAGTCTACCGGCCATGATGCATTCATGAGAAAGTCCCTCATGGTTTCGTAGTTGGCCTTGCTGTAGCAAGGGAAGGCGTTGGGCGTCTCCGGCTGCAGGGCCTCTCCAGTGGTCATGAGGAAGGTTATTACCGCGTGGTCACTGAGGCCAGGGGGATGTTGGATGCATGCATCCCTGATGAGGAGGTCATCGTTTGTCGGAAAGTCTTCAAGGAGTGATGCGTTTCCGTTAGGTCCCCAGCGTGTGGTATCACCCACTTTCTCCGAGAGGCCAAGGGTCTTGATTGCATTCTTCAACTTCTGATCAAAGGATCTGGTGTGTATCCCTTTCTTCTCGAAAAGGGTGGACGGCAACGAATACGGAATAGCAATTTGCAGAGTAAGTCGTTGAGATTGCCTTGGTGGCCATTTCCCTGTGTGGAGGAGGGCCGGTGGGGGGCCTGTGTATGACTGCTAGCAGGCATTTGGTACGGTGGGGAGTGAAGTGGCACCAGAGGGATTCCGGGGGCTTGATTGGGGCAATATCGCCAACCACTCCTTCCTTTAAACGAGAGCCTGCGTAAAGAACCACTCCTCCTCCTGCTCTTAGCTACCTGTCCCCGCGGAAGAGTTCCATGCTAGTGACATGCATCTTTTCGCCGAAGATGTCCGGCGAGGGCCGGGATTCGGTGGCAAGTACGGTTTCAGAGTGCTGACCCTCGCGCAGCGTCCTCATCTCTGCTACTTTCCCTCTTGGCCCCCTAACATACATGTTAGAGCAAACCTAGCGAGATGGGAGGGCCGGTTTTGTATCTTCGCTAGAGGGGCGCTTAGGTCGTTAGGTCTAGCGTCACCAGTCCTCGTAGAACTGGTGATCATCATGTGTCGCCTCCTGGACCATAGCTCTTAAACTAGCAAGTTTTCCTTCGACAGTGATAAAAGGGTCAATGAACCCCTTCATTGTGGAAAAATGTAAAATGGAAAACGTAATCCTAGTATATCCACTGGTTTAAAGCCGCCAAGACCCTGAGATTCTTGCGGAACCATGATCTAAAACTCTAGGAAACTGCAAGAAAAGAAGCTTATTCATGATTCTATTTATTGCCACTGCAGATCCTGTTCATTGATCGTGCTTGGAATCAATAATGCACACTGATGGCAAAAGAGGCAGGTGATCTGAATAAAGTAGAAGCATTTTGACATTACTTTAGTCGAAGATTCAGTATCCAATACCTTTTTACGACCCTGTGACCAACAATCGATTTCTTCGCGCTTGCTTCAAGGTCTTGCGGAACGGTTCCAGGTCGCTGGTGGGGTTCGATGAAGTAGGTCAACCCACTAGAATGCTGTGGCTGTGGTTGGCCCGAGAGCTTTTGGGTGTCGATCAAATTTGCAGGGGTTGTGTGGTTTTTCCAAGGAATGTAATGCGACTGGGTTACTCAAGCTTTGTGTCAGCAGATAATTGGTTGGATTGGCTGCAAAAAGAGGATGGTAGATATGTCCAGTGACGTCAAGGAAAATGAAGTGCGAAGAAGAAAAAAGGACGACTGGGTGAAAGGAAGGAAAACGGAAGAAGAAACTCAGGTAGATTCCGGGAGAGGGACGATAGGGAGGTCTTTTATCAAATAGTGTTAGAACACAAAATCAACGGGAAGAGAAGGAGCAAATAACATTAAAGGATGTTGTGCGGGAATAGGGATGGCAGTACACTTAGTAAGAAATGGGAACTGAAGGGGATGTCTGCAGGGAAGTATAAGGTTGAGCCACGTTCGCGACGGTAGTGGCATTACAACAGATTCGGTAATGGTTCGACAAAGTGGAGGAATGCGCTGCAGAGATTATCGGTCACGGGGACCATACAGACAACTTTACCGAAATGCTGTTATCATGGAAAAAAGGGAAGACTGACCCACCGCAGCTGCAACCTAAAGACCCCTATTTTCTTAAACCCTGCGATGAACTAGCAGTAAGGTTAGAGTAATTGCCAGGGCACATGAGATATTAGAACCTTGACACCTGTTGGATGGCATGTTTTCCTCCACCCACCGTAGTTTCCCCGGCGTGTTCAGATTCCTCAATCGACCATGGAGGCGAGAGCAGAGCGACAGGAAGTGTAGTGTAAAATAATAATGGAACTATTTCAAAGACCCGCAAAAGCCGGAGTTTTTATGGTGTTGACACTGTCAGCAATTCTGAAAGAAATTTTGCGAATGCAAGTGGGGCTCCAGATTTGAGAGTCATCCCTAAGTATTGTTCTAGACCACAGGGCTCACTGCTTGCGTTCCGAAGCTCTGAATTCACCGTATGCACGGTAAAGTGCTGTAGACCCACCGACAGCCGTCCTGTCTTATTGTTGCTGATGACGTGAAAATCTTGAGGGCCGTGCACAGTGAAGTGACCAGGCTGCTGTAGGAGATGATTCAGCTGCATCAGTTGAATGGTCCGGCAAGGTGGGTCGACGGAACCCACTAGCGAGCGGTTGGTCATGCATACC